GATGGAGGAGTTCATTATTACTATTGTTGGGATTCATTTGCTAGTAGGTGAGCACTTCCATTAAAATAATAATATGTGGGTCCCTTAACCACTGCATGAAAAATCAGATAACCAATACGCCAATAATTTATTCGGTTGGCGAAATTCATTATTGCTATTGGCGGGCAAATCCCATCATCTCTCATATCTCTTAAGACAATGCCTTGTCTATTTATATGAAATGATTCCCGATTATATTTAGCCTTTCTAAAATCATCTAGTGTAGACCACTCCGTTGGGGAGCTAACACTATTGATTTTAGATTAAGTGCATAACGTTATTAAAGCTCTAATGAAAAATAAAAACATTAAATATCTTGTCATTATAATCTAGACTCTTTAAATCATGCGTAGGGCCTTATTTTTAAAGATCTAATTACAATGAACATTTAATATTTTAATTTTCATGAGACAACCATTCTTGTAATATTAAGACTCTTCAAATCATGCGTGGAGCCTTATTTTTGAAGATCTAATTACAATGGTTTTAATAACGAAGGCCATGGGGCAATGTATAAAAATCCCCGCTCCCACTCAATTTTTAATCATTTATAATTAGGGTTTTCATTTTATTCATTTACATGATATAATGCAGGCAAAACGTCTTGATTTTAATCCAATTAAATTTAGAAAATATTTGGACTTTAAACGATTCACTAATATTTAATTTGAAGCACACTTTAAAAATAATTTACAAAAATGATTTTTCGTTTCCTAATAAGTGCCCTCAAATTAATTAGTATTTAAATCCAATTAATTTTCATAATTTAATTAATATAAATCAAGTCACTTAAATAAATATCATGGATCCAATGCATGAACAATAATTAATTAATAATTATTTATTCTATGCATTTCATACATCACATAAATATATAAATGATAGACAAAAGCAAATAAAATGGCCAATGGATTTAACTTTTAACATTTAATTGCTCTAAGTATTGCGCGAGGGTCAATCATTGGCTTGCAAACACCTGCAGGAGGTTGATACGCGCCTGGAGAAGCAAAACAATGCTCGGAACGCGCCCGGAGGAGCTGCAGTTCATCCCTACGCGCTTGCACGCGCTGGGGATAGCCTTAGGCGCGTGGCACGCGCCGCCATGTGATTGGAAAATGCTCCGGCGCGTGGGACGCACCTCCACGCGCGTGTACCATTGGCTGGCGCGTGTTCCCCACGCGCCAGCAAGCCCTCTTCTACTGGCGCGTAAGGAACGCGCCAGTCGCATGCTCTTGCGACTACACTTGATTCCTTCCTCCTTTGGTGATGATCTTGATGATCTGACGGCTGCTGATCTAAGCGTACCACATGTTGGTGTTCCTCGTCGCACCGGATCAGCCAGCCAAACTCCGGCACTCCCTTGCAGCCGGCATTACTCCGGTCGCCGAAAAATCGCCGAAAAAATCCAGAAAAATCAGAAAATTTCAAAAAAAAAAAAACCCTTGAACTATTAGTAAACTTGCAAAAAACCCCCTAAACTACTAAAATTGTAGAAAACCCCCTAAATTATACACATTTGTTGCAGATCACCTCCTCCGGCCACCGGCCAGTTGAATATTACTATTCATGACCAACAATTTTAAATTAAAGGACCATAATACCCTTATTTTTAACCTTTTTACCCAAACACATTAATAACTCTAATTAACCTTACACCCTAACACTACCCATCTCCATTGTTTATTTTCTTCATTAAACCCAATCGTAAGATTTCGCTGCTCCATCTACAGCAGCGTAAACAGCAACTCTCTCCCTCCCTCTATGTGTATGCGTGTTTATATGTATGTGTGTGTGTGTGTGTGTGTGTGTGTGCTTGTCCGGAGAATTGAATATATCCAAAGGAAGCATTTGCGGGAGAAATAATTGAATATGAAACAGAAGGATTGAAATCCAAACAAACCCTCACCACTCCTCTCCGGCGACACACCTCCCTTTCACTCGTCGCCAAATTAATGGTTCAAATTAGACCTAATTGCTTGTTTTGGAGAACCCAAATCGAGAGCATGGTCTCGTTGCCGAATTGATGTTCGTATTGAAACCCAATTGCTTGTTTCAGCGAACCCAACCCGACTGGATTGCAGAGGGTTCAACCTAATTTTCTAAGTTTTCTGTGATGAAGAGAATTCCCATATTGATTTCGATTCTCTGTGATGGCGGTAGGTTTGTCAGGGTTGTGACGGTGAATTTGTGAGGGAGCAGTGATGGTGGTGGAAGTAAGGGAAGTGGTGACCAGTGACCGTGGGTGGTTTGGTCTGTGCCGATATACAATAATTTTCCCCCAAAATTGTGTCAATGAAGAAGATGTACAGTAATTTTCCCCCAAAATAACGTAAGCAATTTGCGAAGAGGTTAATTTAAAGAAGTGACAATGGCAAAGGCGCACAGAAGATAAGAAGAAGAAGCGAGGGTCTGCCACAGGGGTTTTATTGTGATACAATTTGACTACGCAACTTGCCGCTGCCATCACGCCACCGTGATGCTCCACTATGGATACGGCGCCGTCAAGAAGTCCGTCCAGGCCTATGTATCACGCGCCGGCGGTCAAGTAATCGAAGTTCAATTACCATTTCCTGTTAATTCCAAAGACTGAAATAGCCAACAAGTTTCGGAAAGCCCTAGAAAGGGGCAAATCGAACAATCGTAGGGTTAGGTTAGCGGTGATCGATCACATCACATTGATGCCGAGTGTTGTGATTCCGGTGAAGGAATTGGTTAAGATTTGTAGAGACGAAGGTGTTGACCAAGTCTTCGTCAACGTAGCACATGTAATTGGGTGTATTGATCTTGATATAAAGGAAATTGGGGTTGATTTTTACACTAGTAATCTGTACAAATGGTTTTTCTGCCACCCTCTGTTACATTTTGTACTGTAGGAAAACCGAAAGCTCATCGGATTTGCATCATCCGGTGGTATCACATGAATATGGAAATGGATTGGTAATAGAGAGATGTTAGGTCTGCACCGGAGATGTGTTCAAGTATAGTTATGTTTAGGTTATCGGCATGTTGGTGGTGGTGGTGGTGGGTTACCGGCATATTGCTTTCGAAACGGTGTCCAGAAAGTCCATACAGGTGGTTATGCCGGAGGAAGATGTACAGTAACTTTATTTGGAGCTACGTGGTCTTATAATAAGGGCAAAATTGTCTTTTTTTCTTTTCCAATGACCTGAGGGAGCAAATTGCAACAAAATCATAGTTCAAGGGGGTTTTTTTGTAGTTCAGGGGGTTTCTTGCAAAACCCCAATAGTTCAGGGGGATTTTTTGCATTTTACCCTAACATAACAGTGTCGTCTTAATGGTTATACAGACGTATTTGATCTGTTCATCAAGGGTAAAATGCAAAAAAAAACTCCCCTAAATTATGTTGAAATTTTTAAATAACCCTTCTGAAATATATTTTGTGCATATTACCTCCTAAACTATTACATTTAGTTGCAAAATGCTTCAATGTCTTGACTATATTTCATTAAATGACAGTAATACCCTTTCTTATTGAATTACACTTAAATCTATTTTTCTTATTGAAATAAATTATGTAAAAAAAAATTCATACTAATTTGATAACATATTCTCCATTAAATTTGCATCAATTTAGCTTAATTTTTAAATTAATTGTTTAAATAAAAATCTTAAGTAATTTTTTAAAAACAATTTAAGTAATTTCTTAATTTTTCATGAATATATTGCATTAAAAAGAATGTATTTTTTATTTAAGTTATTTATTAATTTTTTATGAATATATTGTATGAAGAAGAAGGTACTTTTATGGTAAAAAAAAGTTTGAAGTGAGTATAATAAGTTTTATTATAAATAGTAAAGTTTTAATAACAAGTTAATCACTTTATAAAATTGTACTTATAAATATTTTATTTTTCATTTTTATAGCTAGTAATAATAAAATTAAGATAAATGGTATAATTAATATTTTGATAAAATAAAAGATAAAAAAAATAATTTAATAAGAAGTCACAAATTTATTGAGAAAGGGTAAATAGCTTTTTGTGAGGCGTTTGTCCTTTATTGCAACAAATCAATAGTCCACGGAGACAATTTGCTGTTCTGGGGTTACTTGCAAAATGGCAATAATTTATAGGGGTTTTTTTGCAGTTTACCGGTTCGTCAATTATTGTGTGTAAACTATTTTTTTATTTTTCAATGTTTTAAAAAAAAAAAAAAAATTAAGAAAAGGTTCTCAGACTTTTCAGAGCACACAACGTGTATAATTATCTTCGAATTATGGTAATATATCTCGCTAGGAGGCTAAGGGCTAGTGGAAAAACAATGGACCTGAAACAAATATGCTTTCAACATCTGGTGACAAGTTGGGTTTCTTCCCTCAGAAATAGTTGTGGTTGTAGATACAGAAACTAGGATACATGTTACCCAACCCTGCACAAGTCAGCACAAACTAGGATACATGTTACCTAACCCTGCACAAGTCAGCACAACTATTAGTATCTGCTACAAATGCCTCAAATTTATGTCAATGTTGACACTACCAGAGAAACAATCTGCATAACCTGTTTCTTCTACATTGCCTCAAATCATTTACGTGGTAAAGCTTTGAATACTTCAGCATAATTGGATAACCAAAATTTTGATCGTCAAATTAACAGCTTTGCATAGTCACAAAGAAACTTGGCATAGTCAAGTTATCAGTGCGTCATGTGCATTTGTGTTTTTGTGTGTATATATATACACACATACAGATTTGTAGCAACTGAATTCAGTAACCTGAATCTGCACTTTCCAATCTTGTCGTTCTTGAATTTTCATCAATTTCTCAAGCCTGTATCATCTTCAAAGAAAGGGTTTCTGTCGCAATGTCATAGTTTTGCATAGCAGATCTGATTCTGCAGAAATCTAATTCATTGCTTAAATTAAAATAACACCCAACCCCAACCCCAACCCCCACCCCAACCCCAACCCCAACCCCAACCCCCACCCACCCAAAAAATATATATTAAAAAAATAAAAATAAAAATAAAAAGGAAGCAGCAACAAACAGGCAACATCATGTATTTCATTTCTCTTACAGAAGCTTTACACGGGATGTCCTAAAAGATCCTATACTTGCTTGCTAGTCCAACACTCACTGCATCATGCCTACAAAAATTTTGAGCACATCCATGAAGGGCCTGAAACTTTAGTAGCATGGGAAAAACTAACTACTCTCTACTCATTACTCTGATATCAAGGCTATGGTTCATGTTCACTTGCACGATGATCTGACACAGTCCCCTCTGATGATATTTCCTCTACATCAGGCTGTGTAGCCCGAGTAGGATCTGATTGAGTCTTGCTGGAATCCCCACTCTCAGTTCGGTCTGGTTTCCCTCCTTGAAGTGGACCCCACAAACCAAGAGGTGAACCCTGCTTAGCTTTCTTTTTCCCATATGCATCTTCTGAGTTTGGCAATCCTCCTAGGTCAACAGATTTTGACAAAGGCAGCTTGCTTTCGAGGAAGCTTGAACTTGTCATGCTTGGAACGGTACCTGGACCAACACAGGATGCCACCAATTGAAGCACTTCAGGGGAGGGGGCCAATCCAGCACTTGCTTTCCTCTGGGGATTTGAACACACTGATGAGGGTGATGGATTCGTCATATCATTGAGAGGATGGAGCACATTGAGGTTGGGTTCAATCCAAGTCAGTCCTGAAGTTCCAGCAGCTGATTGTGTAAGCAGAGGAAATGGTGGGGCCAATGGAATGGAGGTTGAAGCAACATCGTCGCTGTGGAGGTTACTTTGGAAGTTATTGCTGGTTACTGCAGTATTTGGTGGGAACTGCCAAAGTGTATGTGACCTCCGCTTCTTCTTCTTCTTCTTCTTCTTCTTCAAACTCCATCGTGGATCCTTTGGTTGGGAAGGAGGCGGGGCTGGGACTACAAATGGTGGAATAGTGGGGTTCTCTTCCCCATATAGCAAGCGAACTGATTGTGCTATTGCTGAGACAGTTGGTGGCAGTTGAGGATCTGGGGGTCTTGCAGGAGCACTTACAGCTTCACGAAGCCAATGAGGCAGCTTGTTCTTTGAAGAACTACTTTCAACTACCCCTTCTTTCCCCTTGGAATGGGACGCATTCAGACCTTTATTAAAATCATGTAGCAAAGCAGAACTGGCAGATTCACCAATCCCCATGTTATTATTGGAATCACGCAAAACATTTAACGACCTATCAAGAAGACTTGGTAACTTCCCATACTTACTTGCTCCTTGTCCATCCACCTGATGTAAATCAAAGCTACCTGAGCAGTTAAACCCTAGAGAAACCGATCTATTGGCTCCAAAGGAATTCAGCAGAAATGGTTCCTCAATCTGTACATTTGAAGAAGTACCAGGTCTATCTGAGGGTCCAGCGATTGAATCTTCAAATAAATTTGCCCGCAATTTATCAGCATTCCAAGTAGGAATAGGTGCAAAATGCTCATTACGCAAACCAACTTGATCCGGTGGTTCTACATGTTGTAAGCTGGATGCTAGATCACTAAAACCCAATTTCATGTCCGTCAGGTGGGTTTGAAATTTAAGGGGCCCATTAAATTTGCTTCCATGCAATGCCCTTGCCATCATTCCATCAGAAATGGCAGGAAATAAGGAAGATTTGGTAGATTTAGTAGGCTTGATTAGTCTTGGCATTGGAAAAGTTGGCCCATCCAGGATCTTGAGTTGTTCCTCCTCCCACCTTGCTGACAAATCTTCAGCAGTTTTAAATTTGGAGAATTTTAACCTGGGGTCCTGAAGCATGGCATCCCAATTGCCCCGTCCATGTCTGCGAATACCAATCCATAGAAAATCAAGTTCATCCTCAGACCACATGTCTAGTTTTGTTTTCTTTTTGAGCAGGTTGCTCGATCCAGGTCCCGTTCTCATCATTATATTTTCAAGAACCTTCCTGTGGTTTTCAGGGAATGAAGAATATGCAGGTGGCATCTGACCCAAACCCAACATAGGAGGCACCTCCCTCTCTTGCTGGCTATATTTAGGAGCATCTTGTGGAAATTTCAAATTTGTCAACAATGGCATTGTGGGAAGGTCTTGCACAGAGTCATTTGCATCTCCAATTCTTGTCCCCAATGATAAGCTGGGTAACAGGTCAGGAAGCGGATGGGGCATGTTTCTGGCAGGAAATGGAAATCTGGGCAGCAATTTCTCATCAAAAGGTAATTTAGGCAGCACCATCTTTTCTGGAATATCAGACAAAGTTGTGCCTGAATTTTCTAAATGATCAGAAGCTTTTCGTAGAGGAAAAGCCGGAAGATGCTGCAAATAAAACAAGATTTACAATTAAAGCACATCTGTGGGTTACATTATTTCAAAATGGAAAAGCATGTACGCTTACAAGACACACACACACAGCATACCGAATTACACATGAGATAATTATCGGGCATGCTGTGCTTCATCCGCTGTTGCAGAATTTCAGCTGATGTATCCGGCAATTTTAATTTGTCTGAGGCAGTCTCGTGACCTATAACATCCATCTCATTCGAACTCCCAGGGCAAGGGGTTATGTGGAATGGGAACTCTGGTCCAATTCTTTGCCGGTTTTGTCTGCTATATGATCTTGAATGGTTCCTATGTGATGATTCCTTTTGATTAGCATTAGGAGCACACAGTCCCAGAACTGGTAACAAGTTGCTGCTGGACATTGACCTTGGATAGCTTGTGCCTTGTAACTGGTGACTAGGCAGGAAGGTGTCAGGAGAATGATGGACAAGAGGTTTAACATGAAGATCCAATTGATCACTCAGTTTATGCTTCGATATCTTGCCTAGCCTTAGGCTTGAGTCAGCCTTGCTCTTCAGTGAATCCAATGTTTGACCAACTTTGTAATCTTCCAAGTCAACCATCGAAGCCTTCTCTTCAACAGCTTGAACTAATCGAGTCACTTGATCCCCATCATTATCATTGGATAAAGGGTGTTGAGGAAGTGACTCGGGTCCGGACCATTCCTCAATGGGACCAGATGCTTCAATTGCTTTTCTCTGAGCTAGTCGTTCTTTCTGTCTAGCACGAAGCTTGGCGCTGTTGAACCAAAATAGTTGGTAAATAATTATGAAAAAAGAAATAGATGGTAAATCGTGGCATGCATGGCACAAGAACCTCTGATTAAGCCAACTTAACCTCATTTAATCAGAATAAGTTAAACAATTATTTGTAGATACCCCAATATTACCTATGGTAGATTTTGTAATAATAGCAGATTTTTATCCAAATTATTCACACTAAATATTTCATTACTCTTCCCCTGCAATTAGTTTTAAAAAATGGTCCACCTTATTAACAATAGTTAGCAATAATTTTCATATCAATAATTATTGCCAACAATGAATCTCAAATTTGTCATTGTGGCGGCATCTAGATAATACAAAAATGCTGTAGAAATAGTTCTAGAGAAATCCAAACTCACAACTTTGTTTTCAGAGCTCGTCCTGCTGGTGTATACTCTCGCTCTGGCTCTGGTTCTGGCTCTGGCTCCTCTTCAGCACCACTCTGCTTTGACACACACAACCAGGGAAAAAAAATATATTAAGACCAAGATACCTACAGATTAACACAAATACATCCCATTCAGTTAGTAACACCATTTCAGATACATACACCATGAAAATCTTAATTGCAGTTATTCCATGGAGATCCAACAACAAGCACAATAATAAAAGAGGGCACCACACTCAGAAGAAACACGAGTTCTGATCAAATAAGAAAAACTACAACTCAATAATACACTATAAAGAATGCTCCTCCTATGTATACTATTCCAAAAACAAACTCGAAATGCATAGAAACTTCCAGAACCAATTTCTATGATCAATTCTCAATATAAGACCTCAAAAATGCCTCAAGGATCCTCTGTCAGAGGGTCAATTTTATCTAACATTGTACTAATTGATACTATTTCCCCTTACCAATCAGCATCTATCTTTCATACAATTGAGAACTTTTTGCAGGTTTATTCATTTGACAAAATGCATCAATCCCCCGCTGTGGGGTTCTCTCTCCCCTTCCCACAGGAAAATAAAAATTAGAAGCCATACAAAATAATTCACAAAATAAATAAAGGATGCAAATGATTATGGCACAGAGAAACATAGAAAAACCATCAAAAAAGATTTTAGCACTTCTATACCCTCCAATCAGAAGTGGCCATGGGCCAGGCTCAGCATCTCCTACGAAATAACAGGTGGCCCATCCTGGACCAACCTTGCACCTAAACCCGCAAATCCAAGTTCTAATCCAAGCTCAGACTTCATAAATATTTCAAGGCATGAGTCTAGTCCACCATCAGCTTGACAGTGTACGTGGTACAAAGTTACCTTTTCAACTAACAGGATAGGGTTAAAACCCCTATAGTTTTTCGCTCTTTTAATAGGTTTATGTTTTATTGTAAATATATTAAAGAAGAAAATGTATATATAATATATTTAAAATATATATCATTATATATGCATGTATTATAACTTGTGTAATTCTCGGGTAAAAAACTCTTCCCAAGCCTGGCCCAGATATTGATAAGGGTTTAATATACAGTCCAGCCTCCTCTATGGACCTACACAACATACCCAGGCCTTCTCTATGGCCGGGTAAGGTCTCTCGGACCAGGCTGGTCATCAGACCAACAGCCACACCTACCGCCGTCCTTCCCTCCCTATAGCCAAAAAAAATCAGACAGGGTACCAGATATATGTCACAGTTCCTATCACATGAATCATCATTTAGTCGGTGCTTCAGTGGGAAAAATTGCTCTCCTAAACTCAACCCATAAAAATCCATTAAGTTTGGCACCAAATGAAAGGTATGAAGCAGACTTTGAAATCTTATATCATATGTCTTCTCTCAAGGACTACGAAAATTAGGCCAAGGCCTCGAAGACGAGCAAAACTAGTAAATGCAGTCCATTGAGGTTTGCTTTGAGAAGGATCTTTCAAAGTCCAAATTCGTAACATAAATTGCAGTAAAGGGTAAAATAGTTGACAACCAAATATAACAGATGACTTCATCAACCTCCAGTCAATAAATTTAAAGATGTGTCGCACGAACCTAACATATCTAAAACTCCTCACTAAACTGAAAAGATAGGTATTCTAAATATGGTTAAAACAACATCCAAAACATCAGCTACCATAGTGAAGCAGCTGCTAGCACACTTCTGAGGGGTGCCCACTAAAATAAATAAATGGTGAAAAGAAGATATGTGGTGGAACATCTGTCATCAAGAGGAAACCACAACCACTTGTGATATAATGAGGCTGTAAAGTAGTTCAAATAGCTTTTTTAAGGTCTGCCTTCAGCTTGGAAAGAAAACAAACTCATATTTGTCAACCTAGGTAGAAGCATCTAATTTGGTTCAGAAATGTGCAACTTTGTGTCACTAAATCAAAGGGCTTAGACTCAAAAGCATAGTAGTGACTTCAGATTTTCAAGGGACTTGGTGATGCTAAAAAGCTTCAAAGTATCACATTACTTTTTATTATTAAAAATCTTAAAAGGGAAACACCTAATGAAATTAAATTTCACCTTTGAGTATAAGCTAGATTGAGCTCAGTGCACCACAAACTGAGGATTCATACAGCATTGACATTAGGATTCTGTTAAAGAGATTTATAAAACTATGTATTTGTAATTTATTAAAGACACCTCCATCATCTTATCCTCGGGATAGAACATTTATAAATACTTAGAGAAAGTCGAGATAATTGAAATTTCAAGTAGGAAGATTTTATTCTTTAAAAATATTTTTTTTTAACAAAAGTATTAGACCGATAAACTTTCATATGTAGCCGTTTCTTACTAAAGGTTTCTTTCAAAGAAATAAAGAGCATAGACATGCATAGTTTTGAAAGTAATTAGCTTACATACAAAGGAAAATGGCCATACCTCACTTAATGTTTCACTAGGGTGTGGAGCATATGCTTCCCTGTAAGAAACAGCTTTCCTTTGGCGCTTCCCTCGACCAAGTGCTGCTTCCTTCTCATTCTCGTACTTCTCCCATCTACAGATCCAATATGAAACAATGTAAAAGAAACTACCACAAGTCACTAGCTACTAACTTCAAGATTTCCTCTGAGAAATTAAAAGTGCTTTAGGATCTTTTTATTTTCGTTTCTGCAAGTAAAATTACTTTATGTCTTATGAATGCAGGAAATTTCAAACATTATGCTTCAGAAATCCATTATGTTTTACCACATAAAGTAGCTGTTTTGGTTTACCATAAAGGAGAACATCCCCCTCACAATTCCCCAAAAATTCATCTACAATAAAATGCACCATAAAATTTTTTAGACCATCTTTCTGTATTATAAATTTATGTCCTCTTACAAGTGAATTGTTGTTTCACCCACCGAACGAACTGTAACCAACTAACCACTGATGACTATTTGTGAGCTTTCTACATATTATTCAACACCAATAAACTCCAGTAACTCTAACCGAAAAAATAACAGATGAAACCAATTTGGCTAATGGTTATGTTTCAGTGTTCATGTATTCTCAATTTATCTAATCAGTTTTTTATACTTAACTTCCCATATTTTGGCTAATTGAGTTAGAATCAATCGACCAAAGGAGAAGACATAATCATACTACCTCTAAGTCTAATCTATAATCTGGGAATCCACTGGAATTCTGCTTGCGCAACTCTCAACAACTCCCTCTAAGCTTAACTATATACTTGAAGGAAAGGTTAAGGAAAAGTTTAGAAACTTGAAGAAGAAGAAAGAAAACAGGAATCTCTTGTATACCATTTATATGTAAAGACAAATTTTGTCTTTCTTATTCATGTGGGGACTATATGCCCAAGCACTATATGCCCAAGCAAATATACGTAGGATGTGCAATCCTGGGTAGAAGACCAATGTTCAATATTTAACTCAATAATGTATACCAAGCTCAAAAGTTTTGGGACCAGGGTAAGACCGATTCTACATATGATGACCTGTGTTGGGTCCCTTTAAGTCAGTGACGGAACCAGAATGAATTGCCAAAATGATCAAATTTCACGGTCACAAGCTTACTACCTCACTGGCTTCTGTAATAAAGGACACTAAATTTGCTATTTTTGAGATGGACCTGGACTTTTAATATACCATAAGTCTAAGGACAACAATCATGCTCAAAATTAAGAAAAAATTATTATAGTTAAAGTCACGGTAAAATAATAAAAGTAATATGCGTCCCAAATTTTGAATTACCACTAAATAGCAATTATTTTAAAATTTGAAAACAAAAGGAATTCAATATTCACACCATATCTATAATGTTTCAATCCACTACTTTAAAAGGGAATGACACATTTAATAAAATTGTGGACTGAGCTTGTTTTCAAAAGTTATGTGATTTCATTAGTGTTAAATGTCATTTTTCAGTCACTAAATTGTGCTTTTTTTTTTTCAAAAACTAGATGAGATTTTAAAATTTTGAGGGGAACTTTACAATGAAATCTTATATTCTAAAATAAAAATAAAAAGAAAATTGAGTGTGGCAGCTGCCCACACTGAGACTATCGTGGCTACATCCCTGGCTAAGGGGGAGTCGATGAACGTAATGGGTCTGTATACAAATGTATACACAGAAGTTTTATCAAAAATTCATATTCAGTGGGGGCATTATTAGAATTTATCAAAATTCTAAATACTTAATGTAAATAGAAATATATATATATATACCAACAGGCCTGTGGCCTAACAGTACCAGGCCCCTACTTTCCAAAGGGAGGTCAGGGGTTCGAACCTCAGTGGAGGCATGTGTGTGTGAGTACCAACTAGGAAAAAATATATATATATATATATATATATATAAAATAAAATAAAAAAGGCAAATTAGAAAGTAAAGAAAGTTCCGTACTAATGTATCGGAGAAGCCATCAGTGGGGGCATCCACCCCCACTGGGCACTATGTGCCTCCGTCCCTGATTTCAGTTATGCAGAGGGAAGCACACAACTACAAGGTTCAAGATAGGCCTACCAGCCACTTCAAGTGCCTGTGCTGGCCTTCTCACTGTTGGTGCAGCCCCAGAAGGTCTTTCTTCTACTCAAGGCAATCAGTGTGACAAGGAAATAACTTCTTGAAGTAAAACAACCAGACTTAAGGGGCATTGCTGCAGTTTCTTATATAATCAAAGTGCAAGGTCAACAAGCTCAGTGAGACTTCCTTTTCGAGTCCAAATAATGGCTCGTGATTCCTCTTTTTATAAGAAAAGCAACCCAGCCACGAATCTGATTCTATCCCAAGAATCACCTAGTTACCTCCAGGCAGTCCTTCCACTCGTCAATAGCATCCACTCCTCCCAAATCTGTTTCTCTAGTGATTTTGGTCCTAGCCACTAGTCACCCAGGCTTCAATCTCATATGGTGGTTTGAACTTTGAATAATTGTGTCGAACTCTTCTTTGTAGTACGCAGCAATAGGTTTCAGCACATGTAGATTACACTCACCAGCTAATGCAGATGATGAATGTAAAGAAAAATGAGATGCAGTCTTAAAACTCACAATAATATCCACTCTATATTATATTCTCCGTATATGTACTACTGCCCTGGTATTGTGTATATATAGGCAACAGAGTAGTGTTAAGAAATTTAGGTAGGCAGAGTTTAAACCAAGTTCGAAAATACTTTTCCGAACGGTTAGATAGATCGACGATGCTCCAAAGGCAACGAAATCTACTGCAGTTCAACTAGGGACTCAAACTGAATTGAAATCATGACCCTAATTATGCATGCATGAATCCTAATTTGTGGGTGCATCATTGTGTCAACAATTTACCTTTATGCCCTTGTAGACGGAGATAACCAAATTACCCTTGAATATAGCATGAAATTCCATCTTTGACCTTGGGAGGTAACTAACACTAACTAACTTCTGAAAATTTCTAAACTAAGTTAGAAATTGAAACAAAAGAAATGACTCAGTTTTGCTCTACAAAATTTATCAACCAATGCCCTATTGACCAAACAGTTTCATTTACTTAATTTTATTGATGAATATCACACTATAGACTTCCATTTCTTACAAAACACAATATACAATACAAACATCTGTGAACATTAAAGGCTCTTTCTCCTTCAACATCACACCCCCCCCCCCCCCCCCCCCCCGACTTTCGTCTGGATATCCCTCAGTAACATCAAATTACAAAACAATAAGGGTCAAATAACATGGTGCAATAACTATAGCGCAGCAACCTATGAAAGAGGACTACAAGAAGTAACTCCTTACCTCACTCGCAGAAGCCTGTCCCATTCGTTTTCTTCAGTGCCACTAACCAAATTATCCTCCTTCTTTTCAGAAGCTTGGGAAAACATGTCATCGGTTACAACGGGAGGTGATTCAGTTCCCCCTGGCATTTCTGTTGGTTCATCATTCCACTCCAGCGACTGATAGGTTAGAGTAGGAGAAAACAGCAAAAGGACACAACAATTAAAAGATGTTAGAAACCATACAGCCGAAAAGGAATAGGAAAAAACAAAAACAGAAGTTCACAACGCAACTGGAGAACTATATTTTTCTTCACAAATAGCAGAAACAACTGAAAAGCAAAAGAGTGACACCAAAAATATTTCTAAGATTGCCCCTGTAACAATATGAGAAATGACAAGGTTACAAATTTTTAGTTATCTGATATGCCAATGGTCATATACATGACAATGCCATTGTTATACAACTTTAACAAAACCAAGTTGAGAAACACCACCAAGTAACTATTTCGAAATAAAGGAAGTACAAGTTATGAAGGAAAAATAAGCGTGCAGAGGAAGTACAAAATATGAAGGAAGAAAATATACATATGAAGTATACATATAAAAACTCTTAATATACCAGTCATTTAATGAAGATTACTTTGCATCAACCGATTATGGAAACATTGAAAAGTATAACAGGCAAAGGATCAAACAGTGGCAAGTTCGGACCAGGTTTAGTTCAAGTCAGGTTATACCTGTTCACTAACAAGGGACTGCCTGAAACCAGCCTGACAAATGACAATATTATACTACTGATATAAAGAACAGAAATTTCACAAAATTTGTTAAGGAGTAAGAGTGACTTCAGGTTTCTTGTTCCCAGACTGGACTTGTAATATCAACCCAAACCTTTTGTATTTGGGTGAGTTGGCGAGCCTGGATTATATGTTTTGATTTTTAATGCAGCAGAAAAGTACTGTTATGGCTTCAGCAATTTCATTTTCCCTGTCCCACTTAAAGGTATATTATGATTAGAACATAAATTGGCACACCTAAGATCTTGAGTATGCAAGTCTTTCACCTAGGTAGAACATCCGTTGCAAAGCATGCTAATAAGAAAAAATGCAAATTGGAAGTTTCACATGGACCACGCTTTGAACTTCGTGTAACAAAATTTATGGTTAAACTGATTTTTATGTTAGTTTTAAGTTACTAAGATGCCAGTAAACTTCTGATCCACAGGTCTTATATTTAGTCATGTTACTGGCCCGTTAGATGTGGTATTTGTTAGGTCTAAATTTTTGTTAGCAATCAAAGTTTCAAAATTGCCTATCTGGGGTTCTCAAATATTCCACCATACTTGCCAAATTTCCTGAAACCTAAAGAAGGATGATGTAGGGCAGTATTGAAGTGGTGAATATACAGGTGGTCAATGGCAATTGTTGGACAAAGCGGTTAAACCAGAAAATATATATAAATCAGAAAACATAAAGAAATGGGGATGAATATGAAAATGGTGAAGATAGGAGAGAAGGTAACTTTTGTGTAATATCATTTAGTGAGGAGCAAAACAACATTTATAAAAAGCAGCCAAAAGCTAAAATAAACGTGGCACACTTTTCTCCCCAAAATTAAATATAGAGAAACTGATTGTGTGCCACGAATGACATACCAAACATCAGCATAAGTAATTCAGGCAAAAGGTTATGTTTAGATGCTCCCCTTTATGGCTCTCCTGAGTATATCTTGTGAAATCACGCAAAAGATTCTGACTTAGAACTCTATTAACTGGAATCCAACTACAGGTGAACTAGGAACGGTAAAAAATAATAAAGATAAACAACTTAAGCCACAAATTCAATCAAGTAAGCAGAAAAAGCTATTAAAGCAAAGCCAACTAAGCAATAACAACTGAAGGAAAGAGAAGAATTGAAGCATGAAGATCTTCTTCTCCTGCTTGTATGCTCCTAAAAACAGAGTAACTTTGCACTAGTTTCTCATTCAGGCTGATATCAAATGAAAAAGAGAAAGATGGAAGACCATGATCCAACTTCATAGGAATATATACAAATCAAGTTGCCAGTTAATGAGGCAAAATAAATCTCCTCAAACAAAAGTGTGGCCTTAAGGATTAAAAGACATGTTGACAAGTGTTAACCGGCGCATAGTGTGCATCTCAGCTAGATATATATATAGACCCGATTTGACCCACTAATCTATAAGGAATCAATGAAGAAAACCAGCCAACAGTTTTTTTTTTAAAAAAAAAAAATCAACGTCTGCATGCAGAGACTTGTGTTGTTCTCAAAAGAAAATGCCCTAGGACACCTATACGATTCCCCCAGTTCCACGTAATCATAAGTTATAAATATTTCAGTTAATTAAAAAACATTTAAGAAGAACATTGATGATGACACGTACCAATAAATTTCAAAAGATAAAAAAACCTATTCTACAAAAAAATGCATCTAACCTCAGGTCTTTCTTAAAAGATATAACTAGTGATTGGTATTACGACCTCAGTAGCTATCGAAGAAAAGTTTCCCTTAAATTGATTGCATGTATACATAGATAAGTCTATCATTCACCTTTACTGAGCCAAGCATATCATTCTCTAAATCCCCTTCAGCATTATCAGGCGAACTGGATTGCAGGTTTGAACGGTCAAGCAATTTCAGAATTGCATTTTCATCCCACACAACCTTGGTGCTGCCATCTGTACACTTATCCTTGTACACGTCCCCCAGGCCACCAGCCCTCCTCTTGTGCTTATGTTCTACATCTGTAACTACTTCATCTTTGTTGCTATGACTCTCAACTGTATCTTTTCCAGTGATGATAGAGGAATCATGAAAAAGTTCTTCAGTTCCCCATCGTAAGATATCTTCCACCTCCTTTTGAGATCCAGACTTGTTGACGAAAAGCTGATCAAGCATCAATTTCTTCTTAGCAAGCTGCAAGATGCGTTCTTCAACACTAGCACGAACAACAAGCCTGTACACCAAAAGTCTATTTGATTGTCCAATTCGATGAGCCCGATTCATTGCTTGGATATCCGCATGCGGGTTGAAGTCAGAATCATAGATAATCACAGTGTCAGCAGTGGCCAAATTGATCCCAAGGCCGCATGAGCGTGTTGATAACAAGAAAACAAATCGACTTTTGTCTTGGTTAAAACGCGCAATCGATGATTGACGATCACCCACTGAAACAGAGCCATCCACTCTCTCAAATGTTTTGGCCCCGAATTCAATGGTCAAATAATCCTCAAGGATATCAAGAAGCTTTGTCATTTGTGAAAATATAAGGACTCTATGGCCTTCCTTATGTAGAACCTTAAGCATAGAATGCAGCAGAGTCAGCTTGGCTGAAGCTTTAATGCGCATTTCATGAAGGAATTCAACTGACCCAGAATCAGGCTCAGTTCCTGGTATGAGATAAGGATGGTTGCAAATCTTTCTTAATTGCATCACAATGTTCAGCATTGATTGCTGCGGAACCCCTTTTCCCAAGTTGCGTAAAATTTGATAATTCTTTGTCAGCATGGCACGATAATATTCAGCTTGTATGGATGACAACTCAACAGGAACCATTCTTTCAGTCTTTGGGGGGATATTCTGCATAGCGTCCTTTTTAAGCCTCCGAAGCATATGCGGAGCAACAAGTTTCTTCAGTTCCTCCACTTTTTCTGCAGTTGTAAGATCATTGAACTTCTCCTCAAATGACGAAAGAGAAGGGAATGAAGCCGGCTGCAAGAAATTTAGCAAGTTATACATCTCTCCTATATTGTTTTGAAGAGGAGTACCAGTCAACAGTACACGATGTTGGAAAGAAAATGTATTGAGCAAGCTAAAAAGCTTACTACCCGAGTTCTTCAGACGATGCCCCTCATCAACCACAAGAACTTCCCAAGGGACCCCACGTAGATGAGAGGAATCAGCAAGAACCATTTCATAAGTAGTTAAAAGAACATTGAATTTATAAGAAGCTGTTTTCTTATTGAACCCACTCGGATCATTGGCATGCCATTCATACTGGCGAATTACGGTTCTGGCTTTTGCGCCTCCATGATACTCCACAACATTGAGGTTAGGAGCCCATAGTGCAAACTCAGCTGTCCAGTTAGGCATCGTTGAAAGAGGAACCAAAACCAAACAAGGCAGTGTAGCTTTGAACTCGAAATATAATGATGACATAAAAGCACAAGCCGATACCGTTTTCCCTAGCCCCATCTCATCTGCAAGTATTACATTTTTGGATTTATGCCAGCATTTACGCAACCAATTCAGAGCTTCCAGCTGATGCGGAAATAATAAACCTCCTTCCAGCTCCTTGGGTTGCTCAGAGAGGGTAACTATATCACTTTGTTGACGATCACGTTTTCCCCTTGGTGTTGCATCTTTGATTGCATCTCTTTCAAATGTCTGGCATTCAAACTGATTACATAAATCAATCAGATGGGATGATTTCGCAATCACAGGTTCATCCACTCTTTCCCAAGTGCATTCATCATAAGGAAGAGCAGTCCACTTCACAAAAACTTCGGTTGCACCCTCTTTGGAGGAACGACAAGCTATCACCCGCTGAGGCAGCTTCCACCTTTCCTCACAGATATTTATCACTGCAGTCCCATACTTTGCCTTGTAATTATCCAGTTTTCTCTTTGCCAAAAGTTTCAGCTGGGATTCAGAAACCCAACTATTGTGAATATGTGATTTCCCAACCCACTTAACTAAAAATTCATATGAAACTGCAACTCCACCAGAAGATGCACATTGAGCCAATATGGATTCTTGGAGTTTTCTTTCTGGACCACTATTCATTATTTCAATATCTGCTTCCTTTGTGTCACTGATTTCTTGAGATTCAGGTATTTCACAATTGTTTGAAACCTGATTATCATCACGACTTCTCAAACTAGCATCAATATTCTCTGATGCAGAATTCTTTTCAACTGTTTTCCCCAAGTCTTCTGTACTTGAAGCAGAGACATCTTGATTTTTATCATTTAGCGGTGTAGAGCTAGAACCATTTATATCTTTCCTCACTGAATCTGTGGCATCCCCTTCCCTACATTCTTTGGTGACTGACCTCCTATATACCTGTATCTTATCCCCTCCCATATCACTTTTAGGATTTTTTTCCTCATCCAAATAGCTCACAGTATTATGACAGCCATCAGGAAAATTTTCAGCAGCTCCACCATCTAAAGTTGTATCACAGCTGGGATTTTCCTCTGATAGTCTATTTTGTTTATCTGGAGTTAGTGAATCCTCTGAAGGCAGGTCATTTGCAACCATCATAGAGATCTGACGTGAAGAGTTCATGTCATCACCTTTTACTCGACACCCCAAAACTCGATCGACCTGTCATGCACACACACACATATATATATGAAATGTATAAAATAATATAAAATGTATAGTGGTTATCTCGCCCCAATAAAATAAAGCAGCATATTTTCCTTAGCTGACACCAGCCTGACATATAATAACACTGGTATAAGAAAATCTACAGTTTCTACAGTAACCATTCAATTTTTACCTGCTGGACTTCATCAGGAACATGATCTTCACATGTCACTGTTTCATTTACAATTTTTCCAGCTTCATGTAATTCATGCCACGAATGTCCTGCTTCCTCAGGAACCCTCTGCATCAAAAGGAAGAAATAATGAATATTAAAATAACTATAAATATAATAGCAAAAGAAGAAGGAAGTATGACTATGGAGTATAGAACACTAAAATGGAACTTGCAGCAGACTAACACATCAATCCAGATTAGAATGGTATCGAACTGTGATATATAAGAACATTGATTGCACTGACATACAACGGGTAAGGTAACATTGAATCTGCACTCAAGCAGTCTTGTCATAAATATACACTAGTATAAGAGTGTGTTTATGGGTTCTTTCAATATGAAAAAAGAATTAAGATAGTAAAGCTAAGAAAAAATAAAAGAAAACAAAATCAATGAATGCAATCAGATCACGTCATGAAAATATCAGACCCTCGTACACGTAAAACAATAAATATCATGTTGTCAGTTTGACCGTTTGAGCTCAACTATCATAATCTAAATCAAATGCACTTGAGGTGCTTCCGTGCAATCAGATCGTGTCATGCAAATTTCCGACCCTCATACACATAAAACAATATAATATATATATATCATGTTGTCAGTTTGACAGTTAGTAGTGCTCAACTATTTATCTAAATCAGATGCACTTGAGGTGATTCCGTGTAAGGTATGGGTGCAAAACTAATATATTTAATGTCAGATGGAAGGATCACAGGATTCCAAAACAAGAAGAACTGACTCTGTGTGCAAGCTGCCAAGTGCGTTTTCTTCCTCAACTCAACTTTTATTCCCATGAGGGTGCCACTCAAAGCAAACTCCATGGGGGACTTGATTGTTCAGAAGAAATAAATTATAAAATCAGTTCAAAAGAGTTAAACTAGTTTAAGTTACCAGCTCCCTGTCAAGGCTGCCAATAGTTGTTGCGAAATCCAAGACCCTATGCAACCTCTTAACCCAACCAATTTAAGTACCCAGATTTAAACCATTTTTGTCTTTTATGTCAGGTTAAGATTGAAGACAATCCATCGACAAAACTATAAATGAGTTTATGATTTACTCCGTAAATGACCAGACCCAACATGTTATGGTAATCCTCCCTTGAAAGAAGATACATATTATATTTCCTATAAGTCATGAAATTTTAAATGTGAAGAAACTACAGTAGTCACTAGAACCTAATTTACATAAATTGTGGAGTTCAAATCCTTTTCTCTATTACCATTTACTAGTTACAACACACACAATGGTTCTTTCTTTAGATTTACTACATTTTTTTCATTCCTAGCAAAGATAATAAATATTCATATGCCAGTACGAATGTAGTAATAGTTAATGATTTGTTATCAATTTTAAAGAATAAAGGACAAATACATGAGGGGCTCGGACTGGCATTAGACTTGATTTCCTTGTACTTCAATTTCTTGAGATTTCAAATTTTCAATCATTCTGTCAACTTTAATTTTATGGCTGGTATTAACAATGGGCCCAATTTCCTTTTTTTTTTTAGATTCAATGTTCTGTGGCAAGGGAAAGTTAATTTTTTTTCCTTTTAAATGCATCGAGTGCACTTTTGACAGCTAGAAGTAAGATGTCCATTCTCTAACTCCTTTCATGTTATTTTATGGCAGTAAAATCTGAGGATCATTGAGGATTATGAGAACTCTACCACAGCAAAGAAATTTTTAACTGAAAATTTATGCCTTCTTAAATATCAAGAAATTTGTTGGATTTATTGGACCCTTTGACCTTAGAAAGAGCCCATATTTCAATAAATTTTTTGGTTGAGGTAACCATTATTTATTATTAATCTTGTATATGCATTCATGGTAGGCCCCTTCTTTTGTATTTTAATAAATGTATATATATAAATATCAGAAAACAAAACGACAAAATTTTAGTATTTTAACAGGCCTAAAGGTTATTCCTCTTCAGGAGACACATTCCAAATATCTTAAAACAACTGAAGCTAGAGATGTTTTGGTGTTGGATCACAAATCAATTTAGGAGAGAGGCAAAAAATTTGAGATATTTTCTAGTATATCCCATGGTCAACACCTTACAGTACAAGCTCCGGTAAATATGATTCTATAAGATTTAAAGATAAAACAATGTGTTGACGATATCTATCACCACTATTCAGTATTTTGCAAAAGGTATATGGTACACGAAATGGTACGTGTCAAACACATATAATACTTGCACAGTTTACTTGTTTTTGGCATTTTTTAATAAAAAAAATTTAAATATAATTTTATTAGTGATGTAATATTTTTATCCTTTTGCCTCCTTCACAAAATTGTCAGCCCCCCATACATGCAGCTTAGAATTTGACGTATTTATTTTATGCCCTCTACAAAAGAAGCCTAATAATTATACCTCTATTGTTTTCAAACCTTTTTGAAAACACGAGGGGATTTGCCATTATGGGCAAAAATTTAACAACTAAATACCATAGCATAAAAGTTCAAATGTCAATGATTAGTAGCACATCACAACTTAATACCATAACATAAAAGTTCAAATGTTAATGATTGGTAGCACATCACAACCAATACTATGTAAGGTATAGTTATTAAAGACATCGTAGGAGTTTGACAAATAAACCTTTTTCCCCCAAGGTGAATGCCAGAAAGTGGACATATCTAAACTTTTATTGCATTGTACAAAGCTTTACCAATCAATGTAATCTCATATTCCAAAAACATTTTATCAGTGTCCTGATTTTGCAATGACATTACTCTTGCTAATTTTGGATTTTACTTTTTAGATTTTTTTTCTCAACATATTATATTTTTGTTCATTTTATTTATGAATTAGAATGTATCTTACAGTACACAATGGACTATGATATGCAATACAAAATATATATAGAATTCAGAATGCGATAACACATGATTTTGCAATGATGATCCCACTCAACAATATACATTCAGAGGTTTATGGGGTTCAGCTTTGGGTGAAACACTAGACATCACGCATACACACATTACAAAATTTTGTATTGTGAATTAGTGAATAAGGAAAGAAAATTTCGGTGAATTAATGATTAAGGAGAACTTTAGCAACTTTTTTTTTTTAAGCAACGTGAATAATTGAAAGGGGAACGTCTAAACGTCTATCTCACTGTAGAGCTTTGTCAAAGCTTTATGAATCAATTATATCAATGAACCAATGTAAGAATGTAATTTATTAACATCTGAATTTTTAATATTACAGCACAAAGAATAAATAATTGACAATTTATTTGTCAAGTGTTTGGAGTAACGGACCATATTTCAAGTGAATTATTTTCCCATATATTATATGTATTTGCTTATTATTTTATATCTTTCAATTTTATTTTATGAATCGCAATCTATATTAATGTACCGGACACAATTTGAAATAGAACGCCACACTATAATTTATGTGTTAGGCTTCAGTTTTGATTGAATCACTACATATAACACATTTGATCAGCAGACATATTGCAATAGGAAAAATTACAGAACTTCTTCACTCTCTTCTGAACCCACCCACAACTCCCCATACTTTTCCCCAATGGTTTACTTTTAATAATTCACAAGACTAGCGGGCTCACCGCAAACTCTTCAAAGGACCACAAACTCTACATTTGCCTTTGGATTTTCAAGAACGCGCACTTGGCCCCTTTCTAATCCAGGGCTCTATTCCATCAGATCTTTCCTCCACTTTTCAGTGGAGGATGGAGGGCCTCGTTATTTGTGAGGATTAATTGGACAGCCTTTGTACCTTTTAAATGGCTTTTCCCCTTCTGGAACACAAGATCCCTAACAGTGGATCAATCAGTTTGCAAGGTGAATTTATAGTCAGAAAGACACTTCTTTTAGGCTGGAATGCTGCATTAAAGAGGAATTAGGCCTATGCTTCAGAACAAAAACGGTTTATGGCTCCTCCTACTATCTATATAACTGCAGGTCAGCTTGTGAAGCTATTGACAAGTAATTTCATCATTACTCTTCTGATAGGGAGTTATGGACCTCCCCTTTCAGCACTTCCAGAGTCAGATGGGTGCCACCTGCTCACCTGTTTTCCTTTTTGTAATGTCATTTCCTAGTTTTGGAGGATCTAAAGGGAAAATGTTGTAAATTGTGCTATTTTGGCTGTTATTTGGTCTCTATGGTAAGAACAAACTACAAAGAGGACTTTCAACATCGCTTCTCTATTGTGCAATAGGTTACTCAAAAGGATCAAATACACAGCATCTTTGTGGATTCCATTTGTCCGAATATTTGAAGCACTATACTCAGTGAAATAATTGGCGACGAGCCAGATAGTTCGGGTTCCACTTCCCATTTATCTGCAATTTTGGCACACAAAAGAACCCCTTGTGCAGATGAAGTGAAAATTGCTGCATTGAGTAATCAAGCACCCATGGTGATAAAATGCAATTGCAAGGATTACTATTAGCAATTACCATTTGGCTTCTATAGAGCTCCCAATTATGGTTCCCCATCCCTTGCTAAAATGTTTTTCTTCAATTGGGAAGTTAAGGAGGTTTTTTACCATGACAAGTAACTCACATGCCCACCTTGGCCAAACAGTGAGCTATTATGAGGGACTATTGGTTCTCTCATGCCTTTTATAGGCCTCTTTGGAAAACCAAATGAGCAGGTATGTATGATAAGGCTGATTAGCTTTATGTTGGCATGTGTGCATTAAATCGTTCATTATGTTTTCATAATCTGTAAGACTTCTACAGATTCCGAAACAACCCTTAGTTCATCAACCCTCCAGTTGTGGATAGATTTGAGAGAAGGTTGGCAGATTGGAAGAAGCAGTATCTTTCCAAGGGCGGCAGGGTCACTCTGATTAAGAGTACCCTCTCTAGCCTTCCCACTTATTTTATCTCTCTTTCAGATTCCATCTTCAGTTGCGGAGAGGATTGAGAGGTTGCAGCGTAATTTTCTGTGGGGGGGCAGAGGTGAAGAGTTTAAGTTCCATTTGGTGAGATGGGATCAGGTATGCAGGCCTATTCGGAATGGTGGGCTGGGTCTTCGTAGATTGGTGCCCTTTAATAAGGCCCTTCTTGGAAAATGGTTGTGGAGGTTTGGTGTGGAGAGACATTGGCTTTGGAGGAGGGTCGTGGCTTGTCGTTTTGGAGAGATGAGAGGAGGGTGGAGCTCTTTGGAAGTTAGAAATCCTCGGGGGGTGGGAGTTTGGAAATTTATTCGGACGGGTTGGGATGATTTTTCCAAGCACATTCGGTTTCGTCTTAGAGATGGGAGGAGGATTTGTTTTTGGGAGGATGTGTGGTGTGTTGATGCTCCTCTTGCTCTTGCCTTTCCTCAGCTTTACAAGATTGCTTCGGATAGGCAGGCCTTGGTGGTTAATTGTTATCATCTTGATAATGGGAGACTGGTTTGGGATGTTCGATTCAGGCGTGCCTTTCAGGATTGGGAGATTGATGAGGCAATTCGTCTCTTGGAGTTGTTATATCGCCAGAGGATTGTGGTGGAGGATTCGGATTGTTGGTATTGGGTCGCAAACTCCAAGGGGCGTTTTGAGGTGAGGTCTTTCTTCAAGTGCCTCTCTTTTGATCCTAGAGTTCATTTTCCTTGGAAGTCTGTTTGGCGTTCTAAGGCTCCTCTCAAAGTGGCTTTCTTTGTGTGGACTTCGGTTCTGGGTAGGATCTTAACCCAGGATAATTTGAGAAGGAGAAGCCAGGTGGTGGTCAATCGTTGTTATATGTGTCTTCGTGATGAGGAATCTGTGGATCACCTTCTTATTCATTGCTCTTTGGCTAGAGAGTGTTGGGATTTGATGCTTAGCTTATTTGTGTTTTATTGGGTTATGCCAGGATCTACTAGAGAGTTGATTGAGATGTGGAGAGGTTGCCACGTGGGGGCTCTCAATCAGGATGCGTGGAGAGCTACGCCGCTTTGTGTGTGGTGGTGTATTTGGCTTGAAAGGAATAGGAGATACTTTGAAGGAAAGGCAATATCGATTTCGGTACTTAAATTCTCGATTATTTCAACTCTTTTTTGTTGGGTTTCAGGGAGAGATCATAGATCGTTGGGGGAAATTGTTAATTTTTTGGCCTCTATGAAGGCTTGAGTCCTTTGTCCTCTTTTGTATTTCCTTGGGTTTCGCTCCCCTCTTGAGCGTCTTTTAATAATATTCTTTTATTTATCAAAAAAAAAAAAATAGCCTTCTTGTGTTTCCATTCCAGAAACCTCTTCATCTCTTCATTAGTGGCTCTTATTAATAATGTTTCATTTCTCCTAAAGAGGTAGTACAACATTTATTGGCTCATTACTCTCTCCCCTCAACTAACCAAGCTATGGGCAGGTTTGACCTCTAGTCCTGGGTGATTCTCTACGCATCCACAGAGTAATAATGGTCGATATATCAATAGGAATTGGAATCACATAAGACTCGACTGAGTGTGTAGGGACTTAAACGAACTAGCACACACATCTGATGGTGTTAAAGGTCTGACATAATGCCTTACATCCCGCGTTCATTGTACCACGACTGCATCTTTGATTGAAAACCATGTTTTTAAGTCTTGGATTGTAAGAATCTCTTACTAGATGTACCCCATCTGCATCCTTTTGTTCTTGAAAAGAACAATACGTGAGGTTCTTTAAGGGATTTAAGCTCATTATTGAAGATGAGCAGTAGAATTATTTTATGAGTTCTTCCAAGGAACTCTTTAACTCTTTGGAAATTTCAAAGAGCTGGTCATTAAGTAGTAAACGCTATTCTCTTCTTATCCTGCATCATTACCTTCGCATATGTGTTGTGCACAATATCTCATTCTCTCTTTACTTGAATTTTTTTTGTCTTTTTTTCTTTTTAAATAAAATAAATAAATAAATAAAGAGCTTGTTTCCTTCTTTGAATGCCTCCAAATAAATATGCACTTTATAAAGTCAATAGACAAAGTGTTCCAGTTTTCCAAATTACTCTTCCGAATTGGATGTTAATATATCAACTAATGTACAACGAGAATTACAAAAAATTTGTAACTTTCACTTGAACGTGAAAATATGTTTATCCTTTTAACATATTGGAACTCCTAAGATGGATTGTTGATTGGGAATGGTAGTAAAATTTGTCCCAAATATATAAATAAATATATCCTAAGAAACAATTTTATTCCTTTTTTTTTTTCCTTTTTTTTGCAATTAAAATAACAATGTAAACATGCAGAATCAGGTTCCACTCCCCAAGGTGGCTTGAAGAATGTGCATTGAATGCTTGGATCATAAAAGCGTATCAATCATTTATGCAGCACTAATTATCAATGTGCAACAATCATTTCTTCGCGATACTCTCACATTTTGAACAGGAAGAAAAGATAGTCCCCTATTTTGAGCACTGAACAATTAATTGTTAAAAGAAAAGCTTCAAATTTTATAACATGAGGAAAAGTTCCATAAATTGCAAAATTAATCAGCAAGAAAAGAGGTGTTTGAACTTGAATAAGCACCAATAACAAAAAAGACGGAAAAAAAAAAAAATGATACCTCATCCTTTCGCTGAATATCCACACTTTTTTTGAATCGACAATCCTCGTTTGACAGAGATGCAGAAGCCCCATTGTTAGCAGTATTACGTTTTCGATGAGGTTTACTGGCTCCAGGAGATGCGGAAATTGTTTTGGGTCCATGTTTATGAGAATTATTTGCACTGAATTTACCTTTATCAGTTCTAGGCTTCTTTTGATTGCCGCCAATATGAAGCTTATGCTTTCTTTTCCTGGCTTTCTGAATAGCAGCATCCGACCTAGGGACAAGTTTGTTTCTTGGAGATGCATTGTTCCAATACAGGTCAGGCTTCTTCTCTGGAACTACATCATTCAACTTTGACTCTGTAATCCTAGATAGAGACAAGACTTCCTTAGAAGCAGAGGGTGACTTATTTTCTGTTGGTATATCTGTTAGAGACAACTCAGGTTTCTTCTCACCATCAACATTCACATGTGAAGAATTACCCCCTATAGAACCACCATGAGATGGATGACTAGGGTTGGCACTAGAAGATTCGTTGTCATGGGAAGAATTTAGAGTTTTTTCAACAGATAGAACTCTGTGAGATAACGAAGATTTTCTTTTGCCTGAAGACCTTTTCTTTCCAAGAATGGAGCTTCCAAAAATCCGGGAGACCTTGTCAGAGTCAGATGATTTAATTCCAGCTTTAGATTTTCCAATGACAATCTTTGTTGCTTTTTCCGGGACAGGATCTAGATGGTTTATGGGCTCAAGCGAATCACTTTTCTGACAGCAGTTTGGGCAGTGCCACTTTCCCATTGGAATGCGCTTGAGGAGATGAATTAAAAGATAATATAAAAATAACATAAAAGAGAAGAAAATAATAATTAGCATTAAATATTTAACATATTTGAACAAAATATTGGAATGATGAGAAACACATCTTCTGTTATCATAAATAAACTAGACATACCTTAAGAGGAGGATTAAGGCACTGAAGGTGATAGGTCCTAGGACAGCTATCACAACACAGCAAGTTCCCACCAAGATCACAAATCACGCATTCATAATAGTACTGGACAGTAAAGAAAAGACAGATCAAAAGTCACAAGCAGTTTATAAATGCTTATAACACCGTCAATTTGCATCAATAGAGAAAAAGGTTTTCAAACTCTTGTGTTCTATAATTCTATTGCCATCTTGGTTTAGAACAACAGTATGATGTAGCTTGCTCAAAAGATGGAGAAGCACGAGCCAACTGGAAGTAACAAAATATATTAAACAGAAAAATACTAATTATAAGGACAACATCAGCTGGCCAAAACTGCTAAAGAGAACAATTGTTCTTGAAACAAAAGGGGAGCCATTTCGAGGAATTGCCATTGTGCTAGTGGTGATGTTATGCCTTTGTAGTTTTCACAGTTGCAGCATTCTATAGTTTCCTTTCAAGGAGGCAGCCCCCTGCCTTTTGTACTTTTCCTTCTCTTGATGTGAAATTTTGTTTTTCATCGAAGAAGAAGATGAAGAGATATAAAGAGAGAAAAGAGATAACTCACCCCATCATTTCCTTTCCTCTTGTTCATAGACTGATCAGAACACATTTCTTTCAGCTTGCATTTTGATGAAGAAATATTCGTTGGAGATTCCAAGGGTATGGAACTGTCATCTTTATCATTGGACATATCTGGACCACATGGAAGCTTTCTCCGTTTGCGCTTCAAGACCCAGTTTCTGTTAATCATTTTAGTAGTCAAAGGACCATTCTCCTTCATCTTTGGATCCTGGATGTTACATTTATGAATACCATTGACAGGAATAACATCAGAGTCAATGATAAAGTTCAGGTATCAAAATTTTCGGAATGCCATTCCTGCAATTAAAATATACTGAAGGCATTAGCAATAGAGACATTGAATGGTATCCTTAACAAAATGGGGAAAAAATGAACAAACAAAAAAAGAAAGACAAAAATAATAGCATATTGAAATCAAGCAAACATGTTCTTGAAGATTCATCAATATAAGAATAGAATTTAGCAAAGTCGAACAAAGAGGGCTAGCCTTATTTGTGAAATAAGATGCTTATGTAGAGACAGGTAGAAACAGAACAATGTAAATTTCACAGACAACAATAAAAGAAGATGGCAGATACATGAGAAACCATTTTTTTTTGGTTAGATCGTGGATTCAAGTTTTGACCTCGGGTTAAACCCAACTTTCAGGTTACAAAGAAGACCTTGAAGCAACTCACACACCATTTTATCAATAAAATGCTCCAAACTTTCATGAGAGGGCCTATTTTTCAAAGATCTACAGAATTTAAATTCAACAAGGTACACAAACAAATGTCCTCGGATGTTAGTCCAATCACAAAGGTTTATGTCGGGCAACATCACAGTATTGTCAATTAAATCAAATCACTGAACAAGCAAGGAAATACAATAATCCACTTCTAATTGATTTGTACTGAGCAATGGCCAATCAACTTCAGTCCTAACTAACGTAACACGCCATCTTGATCAATAATCTCCATCTGCGAACTTTGTGCCACCCAGTGACAACTTCAACTTCATATTTATGTTTATACTAAAGAATCTATTCTGACCAATGATTGGCAACCTACAAAATATCTAGATTTGCCAACTTAAATGAACCCCTTTGAAAAAGGTTTGGAACTGCATTTTCCAGAAACTGCTGATGAGACCTTGATGATTCTGTGCATCAGAAACAATATAATACATCAAGCCTCAAGAAGAATTTTTGTTTCTTCTTCACTGGTGTCAACGTCAACAAATTAGTTGACACAGATATGTTCAAAAGCTGTAGACATTATCCTATATCCTAAACAGTTTCTAATACTAGAAATTCATAGTAGATAACATGGACCGCTAAGCATAACTAATAGTCCATCTTTGAAACCATTAGGCTATGTTTTTTTACGGAAAATGCTGGAAATGGAAAAAATCTCAATCTTTAAGGAGTTTGATTGCAAGAAAGGGAAAAGCTTTCATAAAGTAGAATTTCTGTAACTGCTTATTTTCCAAAAAGTGTCTGCTGCAAAAAATATAGGAAAATATTTATTTCCCCTGAAAGTGGTGCTTGAATTTTGACGTCCAATTATACCTTGTGACGCTTCCTTTCTTCATTCCAGAAATTAGCAGACATGTCCTTCCTTCTATGAGTGCTTCTTTCTTAAACTTATTCTATCTATGCTTTGGGATTCTAACCACCTTTATGGAATTCTTATATCTTGAATTTGGATTAGATGATGTTGAGTTTAAATTTTTTATTTTTCCAATGAAAAAGAAACATAAACAATTGGATAAGAAGATGACTGATCTAAAACAAAACCAATTAGGCTTGCTAGTTTGTTTAATAAAAATAAAAGCACTCTGGGGAAGTAAAAAATTGCAATTCCATGTTCTCCAATAGTTCGAATACAAGAATGCAGTCGCCGACACGAATGTGTTGTAACGGATGCGGGGCTATATCGGGCATAGCGTAATGGAATCAGTTATTGCAATCGTGAAATTTTATAACCTTACACACCATCATATGTGCAGACTTGGCTGAGTATCAAGGGACTCGGCCGAAACTCGAACGATCTAAGGACTCAGTCGAATCTCATGTGATTCTGATTCTCACCGATATATCTATGAGTACCAGACTCAGCCAAGTCCGTTATGAGCAACTCAAGTTATACGGAGAACTACGCTCCAAACCTTATTTGGAACTTTCTCACAAGTTTCTTCAAATTTTTTCATCCTAACAAAATAAATGTAGAAAAACTTATTTTCCATTCTCACTTCCCTTTCTACTACTTCCACTTCCCAACATTCTTTTCTTTCTAATCAAACCTAGCCTAATGAGAAATATCTCATCATTAAAATTCCATCTTCAATGATGAATAAAACCAACATTAATAACATGGTTGTGCATAACAACCACACTAATTAACCTCCAAATATTATTAATTGTGACTAATCTTGAAAATGATTCTAAGATTTATTCTGTCTCCTTTCACCTTCTACAACACATAAGAAGGCATGCAATTTTGAACTAATAAAGAAGACAACAACAATCCAATGATTATTTCAAAAGTAATTAGATCTACAATATGCATGGAACTCCAATGAATTCAATTGTACCACCTTTTACTATGAATTGTGATAAGAAAAATAAATACTAAAACTACAAAACGATATACGGCTACAGAGATAGAAAATGCGGCCCAAAAGCAATGTCCTCCAGAACAAGTTAGGAATGTGCAATCTAAGCTAACGGAGCAAGTAAATAACTCCATTATTTTATCAATGCATAATAATATGACAGATTTATTTGTCAGACTAAAAAATGCATGATATACCTGAGTTCATGTTTTACCCCTCTAGCTTGGTAATTGCCCACTTTATGCGAGAAAAGGGACAACATGCATATGGGTTGATTAATCGAGGACTCAAAGAGGTAGGATACGTCCTAGTTAACACACACACACACACACACACACAAGAAGAAAAACCCTAACCCGCACTATCATTGAAGGAAAATCAATTGCTTCACTCAGGATGGATGAATGGCTCTAAGATGTACTCATTCAGTAGCATACCGTTCACAATGTTAGTTTAATTTTAGGTAGCATAAATACCCTCCACTCCACCCACTGAACAGAATGTACTTTAATAAGGAACTAAAATGAGAAAATCTTACCACTGTGTAACACATGCCAAAAAATAGTTATGTGATAAAAGCATTTGCAAAACCACACACACAAGAATGTACTTAGAAAGAAAGTTACCAAAAGTGCAAGGTGACTATAGGAGCAATTAGACGGCACTGTATAGAAAAGAAATGCATCGGATACGGGAACAAATAATAAGGTTTCCTCAAGAACTATAACTAGATCATTTTAAAGCCATCTAAAGCTATAAGTAGCACAATATATCTATGTTTACCAAACAATTGAAGAAAGGTACACGTTACTACAATTTGAATGTGAATACATTATTGAAACATTATAATACAAGTCTGTTGCCTACGAAGAAGAAGACCACCTTAACACAACCATGCAATAAACACACTTGTAGTGTGAAGTACTATGTAATGTTTTACTCAGAGAGTAAACCAAAGCTAAGTATAATATCTAGGCAAATAACTTTTGTAACTCCTTCATCACAGCCATCAAACCTATAAAATTTCAAATCAATAGCTAATAGCCTAATACCAGAGTTCAATTTGAATATGGATAATATAACAATGGCACTCATTTACAAGATTCCTAAATTCCCAGCTCAAATCACCATCCGAAAAAAAATACAAACTAGAAAGGTAAAACCCAACTGATATACAAAACATCATTGCGGAAAATCAAAAAAAATGGAAACAGAGAAACTGCCAATTTGAACAATCAAACACCAAAACTTGAGTGGTAAAACACATTCAACTCCTGCTGAACCCAAAACCTCATTTCAGTAAGAACTTGCCAATTACCGCACAGCAACAAGAAACTTTGGAATCAGATTACCAAACTACCCAAAAGATCAAATTGTTAGACGAAATTGAAACTGATGGCACAAAATTGACAAAAAAAAAAAAAAAAAAAAAAAACTGACATTAAATAAGAACACCAAAGCACACAAGAATCAGCTAAAATTTGATGAAAATGGAACACTCGCAAAGATATCTACCGAGCAAAACAAACAGATATTAGTAACCAGATAGATACAGAAACATACCAATCTTGTAAATGGATCAAAACACAAGAAATTGAGAGATAAAATCAATACAGATAATTTGCCAGATTATCTTATATGTATAGAGAGTGAAGAGGAGAGACAGATTAGGGCATGAAGTACAAAAACGAGAGATACGAGAAGAGAGAGAGGGAGAGAAAGGGGACACGAATAAATAGAGAGAGAAAGTTAGAGAGAGAGAGGCATATGATACGGACTCGCCGTGGTCATAGGACGGGGTTAACACTTTCCATCTGACATGGCAGCAGGGATTGTGTTGTTGTGGGAGCCGGAGAAAAAGCATCCATCCAGTGGCATCTCGCCACGTGGCACGTCCAGACGCATGTCCCGTTCTTCCCTCCTCGCACTTCCCAATTTTTTCCCTTTTCTTTATCCTTCGTCGCTCTCATTATTCTAGAGAGAGAAAGAAGAGAGAGAGTGTGTGTATGTTTATATGCGTGTGTGACTGTTCTCCCTCTCTTTCTCTCTCTTTCCTAACTTCTCATAATCGCCGCCATCAATTGCTCTTTGCTGGTGTTGATGGATTCTGATGAGAGTGTCCTATCTTTTGCAATTGCAGCCTTTTGCTTTTGCTTTTCTACCATATACACATACACATATATGTATATACTCGTATTATTACATGATCTGATGTTCATACTCTTCATATATAGTATATGTTCAAGTCTCACTTTTTATTGAACTTTCACTTTTTATTGTGATAAATTGTGATTGTTACTTACATATAAATAATGCTACAGTTACTATAAATATTAAGATTGTATTTAACCGTACTGGAGTACAGTTTTAGTAAAAGATTTAGATGAAAAGGTTTGAACGCTACTACTACTACTACTTGGGTTTGAAACTTTGAAAGTGACATGACTGCTGTGCTTTGTTCGAACAAAACAAAGTCTCATTTTACTTCATGGAATATTGTAATAACAGTCATCCGCAAATTAATTGATTGTGCGAATAAGGTTAATTGTGAGAATTATGGTTCGTGTTAACCTTTTCAAGGAGTTCAATTATTTCCTGTATTTTGCTTTTTAGTAGTTTTTAAGATAATTTTAAGAAAATTGAATCAGTTACTCTTTAAAGGTAATAACATTATTTATGCTTATACTATATCTCTCAATCTATTCATGCCATCTGTTTTATACTTGAATAACAATACAACTTGAATAACAATACAACCACTTCAAATAAATTAACTTCGAAATAAGAGATCTTCCTAAACTTTTACACTTTTGATAATTGTAGAAGTTCTTATTTTGCCTTATTTGCATTGGCTATTGTTTTCCTACACTCTTTTTTTTATAAAACAATAAAATAAAAAATAATTTAAATAAAATAAAGATTTGAGGAAATCTATTCAACCACCTCTTCAAAAGTAAAGAATGTAAATTTTATTTATAACAATATGACAACCAGTGCCTCTGGGTTGTAATCCCAAACACTTAAAAGATTTTAAGAATAAGATTCTGCAAAGCTAACCACTATTGGTAATTCTTAAAATCTTTCATTTTATAATTATGACTTATTTATGAGGTGAGGACCGTTTCTGTAGCCTTTCTGGCTCCATTCACATTTTAAACTCGCATGGGAATGCGATTATGTGAACAGTGCAAAAATAAAATTAAAATATTTTAAAAATTGTATTTTTCTAATTATATACAAATTTCCCAATATAATGCAATCTTTTTATCAAGCATTCTTCAACCTTTATATACTTTTCACGATTTGGCAGTATTAAAAAATAAGTGTGATGATATTAAAAAATAAAAACCTTTTATTGTATGTAAATATCATATAAAAGATTTGATCAAGTTTTGCTTCTTTGAATCCAAGCTAGTTAGTTAATCTAAAACATCTTATCAAATATCAAGCTAAGTAGGTTGCATGACAAGTCACATGGGATTGGAAATGTTTTCTTTTTTCTTTTTTCTTTTTCTTTTTTGCTAATGTGTTTTTAGAAGTTGTTCATGAATCGTAACTAATATAGAAAAAAATATGTTATTTATAACTTAATAGCTAACCAATTTCCAATGACAATAAGCGGTCAAATTGCACAAACTCTTTTTCTTTTTCTTTTTTTTTCCCCCAAAAACTCTTCTGAATTTTTATTTTTTTTTTTTTTTGCTAACTAATCCCTACATCTTTTATTTCCAACTTATGATAGTCCATTCCTGATGTTAAAATAGTGGTCGTGTGAGATGGAAGTGACAATGTGGACCTAAAAATTAACAATAGTTTCCTTTTTATTACCCAAAATATCATGAGTTCTCATTTCTGGTTAATAGTAAAGATAGGTTGGTTTTGAGGTATACTTTGAAATTAATTATATGTTATCCATAAATTATTATTAGCGCAAGTTCTATTTGTACTCTCCCGTGCTTTTTAAAAATTTAAAAATTAGTACTATTTGCTTAATTATAAAAATTTGTACTGTAATATAATATTTCGCTCTCGTTCCTCTTGGACCTGTATAATTATCAAATAGTCGCTCAACTAAAAATTTAGTTGACAATGTGCCTATTAACATTAATCGGACGCTCAAATTCCCTCTAACCCTATTAGAGTTTGAGGAATATTTTACAGCTTTGACACCATGCAAGACTCCTCATCAAGCACATAATTGGTAATGGGATTGACACTTCGTTCTAATGGGATAATTGGGCTTTAGGTGATTTATTTGCACCAGGTTCCCAAGCAGTATTCTCACTGACGTTGGATTGAATAATAAAACTACGGTTGATGCCTTCATATTGATCTCATCTTGGTTAGGGATGGCAACGGAGCGGGTTTGGAGCGGGTTTCTCTAAATCCCGCCCCGCCCCTTTTAATTTTTATCAAGTCCATGCCCGCCCCGAGACCCGCGACGGGTTGGATTTTCATATCCAACCCCGCCCCGTTAGGAAATACTGTGCCCCCGTGCCCGCCCCACTAACAAATTTTTTTCTCCCACTTTTTGGAACTTAAACTCCTGCTATTTAAATGTGCAAAGCCTAGGAATGACACAACATAAATAAAATTATGTATCCTAATAAATAAATAAAAAATAACATGCACATAACATAATTCAGATAACATAATAAACAAAAATAAAAGTTTAATACAACCAAATCACAAGAAGTTCTAAGCTCCAACTTCCACCATAACCAAAACAAAAACAAATTTAATACCAAGTTTATATCCCAAATTAGGATTATAAGAGATGGGTAATTGGGTAAGCCGCTAAAATAACTTATTAATATATATATATATATATATATATATATATTAAATATAGTTATATGCAGGGTGGGGCGGGGCAGGGCGGGGCCCCTAGGATATGTATATTGAACCCTTACCCGCCCCGTGACCCTCGACGGGTACAAAATTTGTATCCATGTCCGCCCCAACGGTATAACAAGTGTTCCCATATCCATTATTAACGGGGCGGGACGGGGCAGGGCCCCGGCGGGGCGGTAAAAATTGACATCCCTAATCTTGGTCTTTCCCCACCTATCATTTGTTATCTCGAAGCTGCTACTTCTACCTCCATCGTGCACATCAATAAGTGATAAAAAAATGTGGATGGCATCCTCAAATGAAGTTCACAACTTAAAGCACGTGACATTGCATCTTGCATATCATTCACCACTAGTCCCGTGGCACAATCTGGTATGGCTTTCCCCCACAATACCTAGGATGAAGTTCAATTTATGGCTGGCAGTACAATCCAGGCTTCCTACTTCTGGATAGTAAATCTGTAGCACACCATCGCAACATTTGTGCCCTTTGCCAAAATTACCTTTAATCACATGAACATTTATTCTTCAATTGTTGTTTTGTTTCCCTAATTTGGAGATTTATCAAAGACAAATGTAAACTCTGTATCTCAATTGGAATTTGGGAGGACCTAGTTCATTGGATAAGCATGCAATGGAATAGGATTTCAGCTTCAAATATTCTTCGTAAGGTTTATTTCTCATTTATGGTGTACCATACATAGGAAGAACGAAATGATCGGATCTTTGGAGGAAATAAAATTTTCTCAAGGAGTCGTTCTTGCTATAACCTGCTCCAACATTACTTCAATCCTGAAATTGGGCTTCCTTCATGATTGTCCTAAGTGACTGGAATTTGTCTTATTCATGTTATCATCCTCCACCGAGATCACCGGTTCGAGGTTCGTGCCGATCATCTTCTTATTGGGGCTCAACACCGAAATGAGCACTAACAATCACCATTAACGACTAATCAAGCTATTAATAGTAGTTATTAGTTCAAAAACAATGGAGCTAGGCTTATCCAGTGTTTGGACTTTTATTGGGCTTTTTTGTTTTCTAGTTTTTTTGGGCTGTATTTGGCCAAATGGCCCACCATGCAATTACTTACATATATATTAGTTGCTTAAAATTTTGAAGGAAAAAAAATAACATTTATTGGGGGAAAAAAAAAAGTGCTCGACAACTTTTTCAATGTCCAAAGGCATTCACAAGTGTTTAGAGTCTGTTTAGCATGCGCTTTGTTTTAGGCGTTTTCTTTTTGGCTAAAACAGAAACAATGTTTTTGCGGTTGGACTGTTTTGAAAAAAAAACCGTAAGCACGTTTGGGAACAATGTTTTGTTGTGGAAATGTCAAAAATAGAAACATGTAAAACATATTTGTTAGGTCATGCATTTCAAGAATTTTGAAAACAAAACATATTTTGTCACTCCAACTGTTGCAAAAAATATATATATATAACAAATACAAAACACATTTTTTGTTATCATTGTTTCTAATTTGTTTTTATAAATTTTAAGTATATTTTTAAATTTATTTATATATAAATAGTCATCATATTGAACACACAAAATTCATAACAAATAAACTCGAAAGATTTAATTGGAAAATTTATGAGTGCCAAACTAATCAATGGAAGTTGCCAATTTCCAACAACATCTATTACCCACATGATCCACTCTTAAAAATTCCCAAAAAGAATTTCCAACAACGTCCACTCTTAAAAATTTCCACATACTGTACAAAAACTCCTCATAGAAAAGAAATATAATTTTTCTTATATACTTATGACATTTTTTCGAAGAACTAGATGTCATCACAAATCAAATATATTTGTGCTTTTTTTTCATAATTTTTTTTTTAGGTTAAGCCCATATATTCAAAACTAATCACAGAACCTTAAAGCCTCATTTGACAAAAATGTCTTGAAGACCAAAATTTATGAAATATGACTTCTAGAAGCATAGAACAGAAAAAGGCCATTGAAAATCGGGTTCGAGGGGAGGGAGGTTACCACCAGAGATAGGAATGTCTTCGATGACACTGTAATCTAAAAGTTAATTTGAATTCTCTTCCAGAGACACCATTTTCACTTGTTTGATTGCAGAAATCCAAGGGTTTTCGGCGAGAATTCGACGGAGATATCAGAATGTGATTGGCCATCAGAAACGAAAGGGTAAAATCAGACCAAAATATAATAGAAGAAGGAAAATTAGTTTTGGGTTTGTTTGGGAACTTGGGAAATGATAAATGTTATTGGGAAGATGAGGATCAAGGAAAATTAGTTTTGAGTCGCCATAACATCGCCTCTGCTCGAGCTCTCTAGAAACCCTATAAAATGACTGAAATGTTTTAAGCGTGATTTATATACATGTTGCAAGTCTGGTTTAAGTTGGTCTTTTCATTTCTTCCGCTACAGTAATCATTTGGCCCAACAGTATCCAAAACATGATAAAACACCAAAATGGTGTTTCAACTTTTGGCTAAAAAATTGGAAATGTTTTGACACTGTTGACAAAAAAACAGGCCAAACCAAATATGTTTTGAGCAAAAAAATTACTACTGTAGTAGGCTTGCAACAAAAACACATGAAGCAAAACAAATACCAAATAGAGCTTTAATGCATGTGACATGCTAACTTGTTGTTTTCTTTGTAGGTGGACATTTTGTAATTCTCTCAGGCATCGTCGGATTAGATGGAAATAAAAATAAATGAAATGAAATGTGCAAGTATAACGAGAATAATAATGTAATGAAATGGTGATTTTCATTCTATTGTTAAGTTATATATATGAAATGTGTAAAAATAAAATGATAATAACTATTTTAGTATTTGATTGGACCTATTTAAAATTTATAGTGGAATGAAGTTCAAATTGAATTATTTAAAATAGCTCTCTTAGTGACAAATAAATTAAATTAACAAAATAACTTTCTTCTATAATTTTTTTAAAATAAATGGCAGCGGTGGTGATGGTGAAGGAAAACAATAGTGGTGTAGGTGGTGGTGTTGTAAAGCGGCGGCAGCGGCGGCGGAAGGAGACAATGATGTTGATAGATGGCGGTGACGATGCTGGAAGTCGATGGTGGTGGATAAGGTGGTGGCAGTGATGGATGTCGGCGATGGTGATGGTGGAAGGCAGTGGATGCGGCGACGGTGTGGTGGCAATGGAAGGTAGCGATGGCGGTGGCATTGCTAGTGATGGTGGTGGCAGTGGTGTAGGTGGTAGTGGTGGGATGTGGAAGTGGTGGAATGCGGTAGTGGTGACGACAATAGCGGCGACAGCGGGAATAGTGACAGTGATAACGGAAATGACGGTGGTGGAAGGCAATAAAGGTTGCGGTGGTTAAAGGTGGCAGTGGGGAAGTCGGTGGTGGTGATGGCAACGGTGGAGGTGGCAGCGGTGTAAGGCAACGGAGATGACAGTGGTTGTGGTATAGGGTGGTGGAGGTAGTGATTAGACTTAGAAAATGAGGGGTTTTGGGGAATTTAAATAATGTTTAAAACTTTACACATGAATGAATAGTCATTCTATAGGTTTAGTTGTGGAAGGGATTTTCATTTCCAGTAATGAATTTTCTTTCAAATTGAATGACCATTCTCACTTTAAATTGCATATAACACAAATGAATTGTTGGAATGGATATTCTATTTTTGTAAGCACTAACACAATTACTTGATCGTACTCCTCCTTCGAGCTTCTGAAATGTAAGAAGCAAGGTGAGGCTTAAGCTCATACAAAGCCTTATGTAGTCGACTAAGAGGAGATGCTCAATGGACAACATTACGTAGAAAAATGGAAGCTGTGACTAGAGGAACTTCACTCTAAAATGAAAGTACCTTGACAGAAATGGCAAAACACTAAACTTAATTTAAAATGAAATGAAATAGAATTTTTTTACACATTTTAGAAGTTCTAAAACACGAAACTATAATTTTTAAGGGAAAGTATTTTTTTTCACAAACTACCTAACTTCTTATAAATTTTACCTAAGAAGATAGCACGCGCACATATATATCGATATTAGTAAAATGGTACATTTGTTGCACGTGAGTAAAATTTAATTTAAAATTAATATTCAACAAAGTAATTAAATAATCACATTGATAAATTAATTAAGATAAACAGATTATAAGATTAAATAATGATATATTAAATTATTTATGTTCCTTATATATTTCCTTGTCTAATTATATTATATTTTATTAAAAAAAACTCATAATAAATAGACAATTTGAGTTTTATAAAAACTGTTCTAAACACCTTGTATTAATTAAAAATTTAAAAAATGAACTCCAATTATTTATTTTCTTTATATATTTCCTTGTCTAATTAGAGAGACTAATTATTTATTTTGTATATATTTCATTGTCTAATTAGTTTCCTTTTATTAAAAAATTCATAATAAATAGGTAACTTGAGTTCAATAGAAATTCTTCTAAACATCTTATATTAATTAAAAAAAAATAAAAATTCATAATAAATAGATGATTTGTGTTAGAGTTTTATAAAAAATCTTTTAAAAACTCATCTTTGCACTTTTAACAATAGTATAGATTTATTTATATATTTCCTTTATATATTTCCTTGTCTAAATAGAGAGACTAATTGTTTATTTTATTCATATATTTCATTGTCTAATTAGATTTCCTTTTATTGAAAAATTAATAATAAATAGGTAATTTAAGTTCTATAGAAACTCTTCTAAACACCTTATATTAATTAAAAAAATAAAAACTCATAATAAATGAGTAAAATATTCAAAATCTTTGCACTTTTAATAATGGTACAGATATATATATTTGTTGATAAAGCTTTATCAATTTATAATATTGTCTTTTTCCTTTATTCTATATTTCATGTATGTCAAACCATAAAATAGTTAATTTTCATATTTTTTTTAAAATTGTTTTATAATAAGCAAATGCTTGTTGAATGATTCGTTTTCATTGAATTCTCACTTTTTTTTTTACTTTCATTTTTCACTTATTAGTTTCCATCTAACTAAACAGATCTTTAAAGTGTATATTTACATAATAAATTTATTATTCGTTTGTTGTTGATTTGTTTATATATATATATGTGTGCGTGTGTATGTATATGTGTATATATATATATATATATATATATATTATATTTGTAGGGCCACAAAAGATTTAGTTCCCTATAATTTGTTTGCCAACCACTTATGTTTTGTATTTTTTTATTTTATATGAATCAAAATCAGTATTATATATATATATATAATGGTTGATTCCTTCAGGGAAAGAAAATGTGTTGCACGAAAAAAATAGAAGAGAGTTTAAAATATCATTAAAAAAAAAAATGGTATTTACATTACTGAACGGTCCCTATTTTTGGCAAAAAAAAAAAAAAAAACGGAATGAAAAAAAAAAATTTTGATGCTAAATAATATATGAGAAATACGTCTGCTATTTAAATCGTTTTGAGAAGTATTTCGTTGTTCGATTTTTGAGCAGAACTCATACAAGATTGTTTAAGCTTGACTTGACCATTACTCGTCAAGTTTTATCTTCGTTGCTCATCTAATCAAACTTTGATATTAATCTTGAGCTTAATATTGTAAGGAGGAAAAATAATTATAAATCCAAACAATCTATCACAGACAAGTCATTCTTACAAGTCTTTTATGGAGTTTGCTCATAAATATGTTCACAAACCTGGCAAGCCGATTCGCAAATTATTTGGACGATTCGTCTTTTAAACGAGCTTAAAGTTTGACAGCCATTCTGTTTTTTATTTTTGTTTTCATCCAAAGCAAAAGAACATTTTTTAAAGCATGTTTTGTAACAAAAAATTTGTTGTAAGATTTTTGAAAGTTAAAACATAAAACATATGTTTAATAAAAAATTGCTGCAAGTTTTTTTTTTTTGGGTACCATTCACTGTTATGCTACGGTGTGATACTATTCAAATTATAACAAAAGCCACTAAACGCGTTTCGGTGTTTTGCTTTGCTATAATACACCATTCGTATCACATCACTACTGTACACCATCCACAACACAAAACACAAAAGAAAAGTGGTTGCCAAATACCTTAATGCTGTGTTTGGGAGTATTGAATCGGTACTGTAGATTTAAAATTAAAAGTTTTAACTAAATTTCGTAAAAAAATCTAAGTCGCCAATTTAGTATTCCCAAATATAAAAATAAACCAGCTGAGTTGAGCGCGAACAGTTTTTGAAGTGTCAACTCGTTTGAACCTTAGTTCTAAGCTTGAGTTGTATTATTTAATCTGGCCCATCTGGAAGCCCAAAAAGTCCAATTGTTATTACAGACCGGGCCCTGTTCAAACACTTCAGCCCGCCTGGGCACATAGGGCATCTACCACACACCCCATTTCCACTCGCTTTAAAGGTCTTTTTTTTTCACGCACCAGTAGCACCCCCCAACAACAATCACTAATGGGACCACCTTTTGCCATAACTCTCTCGTTGATTGGTGCGTGTAATAATTGCCACTCACCTGTGGCGTCGGCTCCGTACCCGCTACTGACTAAAATCTTAAAATACTGATGTTTTGTAGATAAAACAACAAAAAAATCATCATTTATAGTGAGAAAATTGAGAGAGACGCCTTTTTATAGTGAGAAAATCGACAGTGTTAAAAAAAAAAAAAAAAAAAAATTAAATTAAAGAATTTAGAGCTGAAGAAATGTACTAGAGAAGGAGAGGACGATTTCTTTGAGTTTGTAGAGAGAGAGGACGATCTCTTTGAGTTTGTAGAGAGAGAGACTCTTAAGAGCGGCAATTATGATGGATAATACTCCAAAACTATCAGTACCGGAGCATAGTTGATAAAAACTTCGCGTATTTCAGGTACAGATTGGATCGAAAACTTTATCTGAATTTTAATGGAATTGTTTCGTTTATGTTTTGCTTCAGTTCGACTTCGATCTTTCAAGAGTGTTTAATTTTTCGATTTGTGGTTTTGATCAGTTATTGAATTTCAATTTTGGGTTTTTGTTTTGATTATTAAACCTCAATGATTCTGTATGCATGTTAATCAGAAGCTAGTATTTGATGATTTTGATTTAGTTGGTTGTTTGATTGTAGAAATACAACTAGTGGAAGCTTAATCTTTGAAAATTCAATTGTTGCCTTATAAAATATTGGAGATTTAGATGATCCAATCATGCTTATTGTTTATCAGTAAAGAGTTTTCCGGATTTGGGTTTTAACTGGAGGTTGAATTGTATACTCATTTTTGATGACTTCCGTTGTTTTGTCCATTCATGGTTAATACGTAGGTTTATTCTAGATTTTAAATGTCATTTTCCTCTTATAATTGCTTCAGTGTAACTTACTCTATGAATGGCATGCCCTTTCACTTTTCAGTCTCACTGTTTTAGTTACTGTGTTTCAGCCTTACTCCTTACCCAGGTGATTTACTGTCGTCTGGGTCATGAGTATATGCTTGAGAAGATCTCTCTTTGTCGTAGCATGTGTAGCAATGCCTGATTGCACACTTTGGGACACTGCATGGAAGATTCTACCATGCTTTTCAAATTCTTTAACAAATGTAACTGTTAAACATTGTATTTATTAGCTCGAGGTTACCATAAATTTGTGTATTGCTGCATGCACTCCTACACAGCCTTCGTTTTATTTGCTACACATCTGGACTATTTGTTAGTGTATTTTGAAATTAGTTATCCCATCATGGCTTCTGTTTCCATTTTGTTCATCATTTAATAAAAGCAGAAGCTCATGAAGCATAAGCCTCAACAAGTCTCATGCATTCTGCAATTTTTATTTTTTATTTTATTTTATTTTATTTTCTGGTTTTAAAATAAATATACAAGTAAAAATCACAAAACTGTAAAATGGAACTGCTGGCCTTTGTGGAGGCCCTGAACTAATATTTGTTCAGAACTTGTAAATGTGCTTTTGTGGAACGCAATTGCGTGACAAATGGTTTCATCTCTTAATTTTTTTAATTTTTTTTGTACTTTTATTTAGATCAGTTGGCCATTCTTCAGTGGCCAAGGTTTCTTTTATTGGATATTTAGATCATGTGACTCTTAAGGCCAAAGTTTTCAGCTATAAATGGGATTTTGCCTAAAAGAGCTTTACTTGGACCATCATGCCACGGTTGCCAGCTAGGATTCACTTTTGTCTTTATTTTTTTATAATGTTTCTTCTTATTTTTATTTTTTTATTCTCTCTTTCTATTGTTTACAATTGAGAGCTCCTTTTTATATATTTATTCATTTTAGTTTTCTCTGTCTCCCCATCTTTCTTCTCCATCCTTCTCTCCCTTATTTAATATAGTATCTTTCTCGTCAACTATAATAGCAGTAGCGGTGGGACCTTTTTTTACTTATAAAAAAAAAAAAAATTAAATAGTAGTAGCGGCAGTAATAAAGGATGTGACCAATTAGTGCTTTTAAAATCTCTTGCACAAATCTTGTCCACTGTTAAGATTTTATCAGTATACCCAGTAAAATTGTTAAGGATCTTGCTGATGCGCTTTTGCACTGGACGAAAGAAAATACGATACAAATATATTTAACCTAAATTGTGCCTATCTTGAACCATGGAAACAGCTGATAACAATACTGATATTTTGCAAATTGTATCACCCAATTTTTGAGATTTTTGCATTTCATTTCTCGCGAAAGAGATTGAATTACCCTCACATTTTTATTCCTTGCAATGATATATGTACAGGACCTTTCTTGTGGGTACCGGCTTCTTAGAAGAAATTTCACTTTCACACAATTTCGTCTTTTAAACTAGATATCCTCCCTATAAGGAATTTTTATCTCTGAATTTTTTTAAGTATAACAATCTTGATTCTTGGAGGCTCTGTGCTATAGCAGTAAATCATTAATCATTGCATGCTTGTTTTTCCAATGTTGAGTAGTATCATACATTTTAATATTTAATTGGGGCCTAATTTTGGTGGCGCATCCACCTAGGAAGAGCTACCTGTGGCCTGTGTGTAAAAAATTATATAAGGCAGTGGCATTATCTACCATCCTTTGTGTGCTAATCTTTTTCTTTTTTCTTATTTTTTTCTCCTTTCTTTTGGTAACCAACTTTTTAGATCTTGGGTAGTAATTTCTGTGAACTATCAACTATTCTGGAAAATGTTTTCACTTTGTGGTATATTTGTAAATATATGTGAATGTTACATTTTCGCTTTTCGTCCTCATATCTCATATCTCCTGGTGGATTAGTGAAATTCAGACTTTCAGAGTACATATAGTTACTTCTCTCCCCACCCCCTCCTTCCCTTTTGTAAGTAAACTACATGGGGCTTACTGGAGTTTATTGATTCACAAAGAGAAGAATTTTTGGACCTGACAGATAAGTGCTAGGGGTTGCAGAAAAGTGGGAAAGGGGAGCTTCTGCAACATACAGACTTCTAGTTTTCGATGAGGTAGTTTTGCTGAGAGTGATATGAGAATTGCCTATTTTCTCATTGAAAAGGTTAAAATTGAACAAACTTAAGGGCATTTTATTCATTAACAATTGGCATAATAACCACGTTGTAAGCTGTAGTGAATGTGTGCTTAATTTGGTTTATTCGTTAAGATGTACACATTCATAACAATGTATCACCTGAACTTGTTCAAACTTTTGGGTTGATTGATTTATTGGTTTTGAGGTTTTCCTGATTTCTTCTATGCACTGTCAGATGTTTGGTTTTCCTCTAGAATTTTAAAATTTGATCATTCAGCTTATGGAGATTCAATTTATTTATTTATTTTTGTTGGTGTAATGTGTGTTGCAGTTTTCTGTCCTTTCAGCGAAGATCATTGATTGCCTCAAAAATTGCTCAAGCTAGTAGCCTTCTCTGTCAGGGTGACTGATTTAAGAAATCAGCGAAAGCTTATTTCTTATTTTGGAATCCCTGGTTGAGAACTCAAATATTGTTTGGGAAAGATGGTTCTCTCCTAGCAAAGTTTGTGATTAACTATTTACTGGAATGAGCACATAGTTTGTGCTGATACAGCATCCATGATACATTCATGTTTTTTCATTCTGCGTTTTGTCCCATTCTAGTTGGGCCAAATGGAGAGAAATAGGGGGAGAGGTACAATAGATCAACATAAAACCTATGAACAAGTTCGATATAATTCTGTGGAAACCAGAAATGAAGGACCCGGGTCTTCAAATCATAGAGTTTTTCAGGATTCCTCTAGTTCCATTAATACAAACATGCGACCTCCGGATTTCAATTTGCCAGTTGGTGCTAGACCTGTGCTGAATTATTCCATTCAGACTGGTGAGGAGTTTGCTCTTGAATTCATGCGGGAAAGGGTGAATCCAAGGCAGCATTTCATTCCAAATGCGTCTGGTGATTCAAATAGTACAACTAACTATACAGATCTGAAGGGCATACTAGGAATTACTCATGCAGGATCAGAAAGTGGATCAGATATCTCTATGATTACCTCAATAGAAAAAGGCCGTGTCCAGGAGTATGAGAGAAGGGGCTCGTCTGTACATGAAGACAAATCTTGTTATGAGTCCACACGATCAGTGCCACAGACCTCATCAAGAAATAACATTAGTCAGGGATCCCGTGGCTATGCCTCTTTAGGGGTTTCTGATAGCTCATCATCAACAAAGGTCAAGTTTCTCTGCAGTTTTGGTGGTAAAATCCTGCCTCGTCCCAGTGATGGAAAACTAAGGTATGTTGGTGGTGAAACACGTATAATTCGGATAAACAAGGGCATTTCTTGGCAGGAGCTTATGCAGAAAACATTGACAATCTGCAACCAAATTCATACAATCAAATATCAGCTTCCAGGTGAGGATCTTGATGCATTGGTGTCCGTTTCTTGTGATGAGGATCTACAAAATATGATGGAAGAATGTAATGTGCTTGAAGATGGGGGATCACAGAAACTCAGGATGTTTCTCTTTTCTAGTACTGATTTGGATGATTCTCAGCTGGGTCTGGGGAGCATGGAGGGTGATTCTGAGATTCAATATGTAGTTGCTGTGAATGGCATGGACCTAGGATCAAGAAAAAACTCAATTGGCTTGGGAAGCTCTTCAGGAAACAATTTGGATGAGTTACTCAGTTTAAATGTTGAAAGGGATATCGGTGTTGTACCTTTGACAGCTGGTATGCCTTCATCAGCAATACAATCTTCTGAGCCGGTATTGCCAAGTTTGTCTCATGCTTACGGATCCAATCAACAGGCTTACCATGGCCAGATGGTGCATCAAAGAGAAGCAGAACTGAATCCATTACCTACTGTCCACCCGAGAGAGAGCTTCCACGATATAGATGGCAAACGTACTGTTCCATTGCAATATGTTTATGGTTCAGATACCTCTACATATGCACCGCTTATGGAAAATGTAGTTCCCACACCTCTCCATGGACACATGAATCGACAAGAAGGGTTGGCTGAAGAGCATCCATATAGTGGCATTCCCATGCAAGATCCAGAAGTGTCAATAAAGGAGCTGAGAGTGAAAAGGGATAGTTTTGCCCAGAGAATGAGCGAACTTGAAAAAAATCAGTCTCTAGAGAAGGAAGTGCTTACAAAGGAGGCAAAAATGAAAAGAGACAGTTCAATCCAGAAAATGAGTGAACCTGGAAATAATTGGTCTTTAGAAAAGGAAAATATTGTTTCTTCACATCCATATGACAGTTCTGCTCCAAATTATATTCCTAGGGAAGCTTCAGGTGCAAACTCTGCAGCAGACACTGGTGCGCCTTTGTTGCCTACAAAGAATCATAAAAAACATCAGGTATCCATACAGAGTGCAATACCCCATGAAGCTGTTAGTGGAGATGACCATTTTTACGCATCCAGTAAAGCATTTGCTCCTGGTTATGCCGACTCAGAGGCTGATCCACTTGACTTTAGCTGTCTTGAACCACAAATGCTACCTCAGAGGATTTTTCATTCTGAAAGAATTCCCAGGGAACAGGCTGAAATGAACCGTCTGTCGAAGTCTGAGGATTCTTTTGATCCTCAGGTTCTAATAAGCCATGCTCGCTCTGATTGTTCTCATCAAATCATGGAATCAGTTGATAAATTGCATGATGGAGATGTGGCTTCGCAGACAGAGCAGTCGATCTCATCTGCAAAACCACCATATACAAATCCTCAAATTGTAGATGATGGACTCACACAGGCTAAGAAGTATGTAGAGGTAGTTGATAATAATAATAAAATGAATCTCATAATTTCTGAGGGTTTTGAGTCAAAGTCCCAGAAGTCTGAGCTAAAGCCTGTGGTATTACCTTCACCTGTGGATAGCGATGATATTACTCAGGTCACGAATAGTTATAAAGAACACTATAATGACGGAGAAATATCAGGACTGAATCATCCAATAGCAAGCCACGGAACTTCAATCAAGCGTCAGGAGGATTCTGCTTCTAAGGCACCAGAGTCTCATGGTGGTGATGTAACTGTTAATATGAATGCTGGGAATAACACTAAGGGGAATGCACAACCTTTATCTCATTCAGAGAACCCAGTTGGAGCTCTTCCTCAAGGGGAGTCCTCTGTTGGTGTTGGCACTTCAGAGCAGGGAGACATACTTATTGATATTAATGACCGTTTCCCACGTGATTTCTTGTCTGATATGTTCTTCAAGGCTAGAATATCTGAGGACATGGCAATAATCAATCCACTGCCTACTGATGGAACTGGCTTGAGTTTGAATGTGGTGAATCACGAGCCTAAGCATTGGTCCTTCTTTCAAAAGTTGGCCCAAGATGACTTTGTTAGAAATGATGTTTCCCTTATGGATCAAGATCATCTTGGTTTCTCGCCCCCACTTACTAACATTGAAGAAGGAACTCCAATAGATTATGGTTTTCCACCTTTGAATACCAACGGAGTTCCCTTTGTTCCTATGGATTCCCATATCAATTTTGATGCTGATATTCAGAAACAGTCATCTGATGCAGTTGGGCCTGACACCACAGATTTGCGTTCAGATTACACTCCTTCTCAGATTAATGCAAGCGAAAGTGTGCAGTTCGATGGTCTGGTGAACACAAGAACACCTGAATCTGATAATGAGGTACTTTTAGCTATACCATATATTTCTAACCAAAGTGCTTGCCTTCAATGGTTTTTCTAATTTATTTTTATCACTTTAAGGATGGGAAGTTAGAAGCTCAGCATACTGGTGCATCTCTTGTTGATCTTTCTCTAGGAGAGTTTGATATCAGCACCTTGCAGGTATGATGCCATTCAATTCAACTACAGATGTGCTATGAATTTTTTTGGCACACCTGCAAAAGGTTTATGCAAATTTTTTATTTGCAACTTTATTACATTATATCCTATTAAAAATATAAGGTTCTGACAATGTTATCTTGAAGTATCTTCTTGCTTTTGGTAGCGAAAAAGCAAGATAAATTCAGATAGAAATGGTAATGTTTGGTTTGGACATTGTCAAAGTTCTTTTGTATGAGCAGAACACCATGGGAGAGAGAAAGATTTCAGGTTTTTTGGGATTTCTGAAAGGAAAAACAATTAAGTTGTAGCTCAGTATTGCTTAATCCTCAAACAAACACCGTCATATTGCCAAGACACCCACAACCACCAAGCATCCGCATCAACATTCCCAACATTTCCATTACCATCACCAGTGATGGCAAAATGGCACTGTCACGACCAATTCTGTCTCCATCACTTGTGCAATTGCTACTGCCAAAACTGAAACCACAGCCAAAGCATCCACACGCCACCCTTACTCATGCATTGCTTTAATTCTACCAACACTGTCTCTGCGTCAAGTATTAAATTTTCACCACTGCCGGCTCTTTGCTGCCACTTCCAACCTCAATGCCGCCACTCCATACCACCATGGCACCACCACTCTTAATTGCAGCTGCCTTTGCCACTATTGGCATCCACTTTTATTAACACCACCACACCACTTAATTCCAAATCAATTCACCATGCTTTTCTATATTTTGTACAAAATTTTTTTTCTCCCTTTTGGGTGCCATCCTATAAAAATTGATTTGGCTTTTGCATTGCAAATAGAAAAAAACATATTGTGGTATTAGGGTTTGTGCACATCACAAGGGAGGATTTGAGGACAATGATTGGATTAGGGGAAGAGGATGGAAAGGGGAGAGATGAAATACGAAGACAGAGTAATCCTCCTGTATAGGGAGTGAGTGAAAATAGGACTTCTCGTTTGTAAGTGAAGGTGGTATTTATAGAGAAGGCCACATGTGTGACCTTAGCACACGCGAATGACAACCTTGGAGTTAGGGAGACATGCCCAGTACATTGTCATTTTCAATGAGAAGCACGTGTTCCGCAATCTTTTTTCTATTCTCCTTTGGTATGCGCCCTCTAGTTGGTGGTCACAATGCTCGAGGGTTGGAAGGGTCTGGGACCATCTATAGTGGCGTTGATAAACTCTGCTTTGGTGCAGAGTAGTGGCAGGAACCTCATTTTATCACACACTTTAGCTAGTACTTTTAATGCAATCAGCTATGAAAGAGAACAAATAAATCTGAAGAAGGGAAAAACAGAGAGCAAGATTAAGCTAACGAATAACTTAAACACCCACAACTCAATCCCAAAGAAAGGGAGAGGTAAAAAGCTGCTACAACAGACTAAATATATTGATAATGCTGCTGATTACAACTTGGATCAACCCTTTTATGAGACACAAGGGATGCCCTAGCAAAGATTTAATCCCAGCCCTTCATATAAATGTAATCTAAAGGCTAGTATTCTGTCCAGCAGAATAAAGAGATAAAAAACGACAAAACAGTCCTTAAGTAGTCACATGACTCACTTAAAAGGCACATGACTTATAAAATAAAAATTGAATAACAATAATATCCTAAAAATGAAATAAAAACAGATTTAAAACTTCGATAAATGACTCAAGACCCATAAATAAACACACAATCTGATCACACCATCAGCTGCATCTATTAATGGAAACTCAGTTTTGTCTTCTAAGGATATTCAACTGTTTGAAGAAAGCACTCCTGTAAGAATGTATATTCTTTATAGTGTTGGGTCATTATGTAATTACCCATAGTAGTTAGGGTTATTGTGTAATTATGTAATTAGGGTCTCTAACCCTTTTCTTATATAAGCCTTATTTAGAGGGCTGAAGAGATGGAATACAGAACATACATTTTCTCTCAATCTCTCTCTCTTTCTCTTCCTATCTCTCATGAATCTGAACATGGTATCAGAGCGGTATAAATTCATGGGTGTGGGAAACAATAAGTGTGTTGCCCTTGTATGAGAGCGACTGGAATCGTGAGTATATCGTTGGTGTCTTTGTCGGAAGTTCGTGTCACCGGTAGGTTGAGAACATCGTCCTTAGTCGCCGTCAGATCTGAAGCCCGTCGTCGTCGTCGTCAGATTTGCAGCCTCCTTCGTCGCCGTCAGATCTGAAGCCCCTTGGCCGCTTGTGTTGTTGCCGCATCGATCGTCAACAAGCTCGCCGACATCCACCGTTGTTGTTGGCAGAGGTGAAGCTTCATCGATTCGCCTCTTTTTTCTTGGTCGGAAGTTGCGGAGGTTGTGTGGTGTCGCCGCTGTGTGCTCGCCGGAGTCTGTTAGTGGGTTGTGAAGGAGAACAGCCTTGTTTGGTGGCGCAGCTACACTATTCCAATCCTGGTTTACTAAAACCGGGATAGCAGAGACTTGTTTTGATCCAATCCGGCTACCTAGATCCGATCCGGTTTCAGATCCGACCCAGGTCCGACCTGGTGCCAGCTACGACCCAGATCCGGCCCGGTGCCAGCTACGACCCAGAGCCGGCCCGGTTCCGATTCTGCATTTTTCCCAGGTTCTTTTTTTTTTTTTAATCTTCTCCATGGCTTCCAGTTCCGATCTCCTATCTCCTGTATCCTTTAATCCTCCCATGACTTCAGTCAAGCTTAATGGAAAAAATTACATTTTATGGGCCAAGTCAGTGGCCATTTCCTGAAAGCCAAAGGCTTTGGCGATCATTTGGTTCAAGATAAACCCAAAAGCAGTGATGCTAATTTTAGTTCATGGGAACAAAGAGATGCTCAGATCATCTCCTTAATGCTGAATTGTATTGAACCTCATATTAGCTCCAACCTGTTATATCTGGACACTGCCAAGGAGATATGGACCCGACTCCAACAGTTATATTTTGGTGCTGGTAATATAACCAGAGTTTATGAGGTGTGTAGACAATTTTTTGATCTCTAGCAAGGGACTCACAGTTTAGAAGAATACCTCTCACGAGCAATGGGACTGTGTGAAGAAATGAATATGTATCAACCCATCACCTCTGATGTGAAAAGCATGCAGCAGCAACGTGAGGATTTTAATGTTGTTCGGGTTCTCACAGGATTGTCACAAGAGTATGAACCTGTTCGTGCACAGATTTTGGGTAGCTCTACACTTCCGTCTCTACCTGATATGTTATCCAGACTCCAGCGTGCCACTTTATCTAGTGGCTCTTCAGGCAGTACTTCCAGTGGTGTCACTGCTCCTTCTAACAGTGAACGTTCTGCCTTAGTTGTGAACCAGGGTGGCTTTCAGTCTTCTCGTGGAGGTGGTGGTGGTGGTCGTTTCGGCCGTAGCCGTGGTCGAGGCAAAGGCAGAGACTCCAAAATTTGCACTCATTGCGGTCTTACCAATCACACGGTCAATTACTGTTGGGATCTTCACGGAAAACCGCCATCTTCTTCCTATGCACATCAAGTGACTGCTAGTGATGGGGATTCTTCTCTCTCTGCCACATCCACTGCTCCACATGTGGCTGTTGAGACTGCTATGGTCACGATTCCCCGTGATGAGTATGCTCAATTTCTGTCTCAACACCGGACGTCCACCTCATCTTCCATGGGGTCCTTGGCTCAATCAGGTAGTGCCCCTGCATGTCTTTTGTCCTCTAGTCAGAGTCACTGGATTCTTGACCCTGGTGCATCCGATCACATGACTGGTAGTTCTCATCTCCTATCTGATTTTCAGTCTGTTCCTTCCTCTCAAAGTGTTACTCTTGCTAATGGATCATCAACTAAAGTCTTGGGTTTGGGAACTGTTCCTCTTACCCCTTCTATGTCCCTTTCTTCTGTGTTATATGTTCCTCAATTCCCTTTTAATTTGTTGTCTTTTTCAGGATCTCAAGACGAAGAAGAGGATTGGTATGCGACATGAAGTAGGTGGCTTGTATTACTTCGATCTTGCACCATCTCTCACGGCTCTTCAATCATCTTTGTCTTCTTTCCAGTGGCACTGTCGTCTCGGCCATCCCTCGCTATTAGTTCTGCAGCGTCAAGTTCCCGGTCTTAGTCATGTTAAGTCTCTGTCTTGTGAAACATGTCAGCTTAGTAAGCATTGTCGTGTATCTTTTAAGCCAAGAGCTAATAATCGTGTGGCTAGTCCTTTCCAATTAGTTCATTCAGATGTATGGGGACTAATAAAACATATTTCTATTAAGGGATTTCGTTATTTTGTGACTCTTGTGGATGATCATTCTCGGATGACTTGGTTGTTTTTAATGAAAAATCGTTCTGAGTTGTTTTATATTTTTTCAAATATTTCGCAAAGAAATCAAAACTCAATTTGGGTGTTCCATTAAAGTTTTACGTTCTAACAATGCCAAAGAATATTTCTCGGACCCTTTTGAGACGTATTTTCATGCCAAAGGCATCATTCATCAATCCTCTTGTACTTATACTCCGCAACAAAACAGAGTAGCTGAGCGTAAAAATCGCCATCTTCTGGAAGTCTGTCGTGCCCTTTTATTTTATATGCATGTTCCCAAACGTTTTTGGAGTGATGCTGTTCTTACGGCATGTCATCTTATTAATAGGATGCCCTCATCAGTGCTACACGGTAAATCTCCTCACTCTGTTCTATTTCCCGACTCCGTATCGTTTAATCTGACTCCGCGGGTCTTTGGCTGTGTGTGTTTTGTCCATAACCTTGGACCTGGTTTTGATAAACTCGACCCTCGTGCAACTAAATGTGTTTTTCTTGGGTATTCACGCACTCAGAAGGGCTATCGGTGTTACAGTCCTCATTTCCAACGCTATTTCACTAGTGCTGATGTAACATTTTCTGAGTCTATCCCATATTTTTTTGATTCTACTAGTCCTCTCGATATTACTTCTGAGCCACCTCTGCCATCGGTTCCCTCTCGGTCTGCTGTTCCTTTGCAGGTTTATACTCGACAACCTCGACCGCCTACTTCGCTCCCTCCATCTCCTTCAGAGTCTTCGGATCCGACGCCTTTACCTGTTGATTTGCCTATTGCCCTCGTAAAGGTATTCGGTCGTGTGTTACTGCTCATCCCATTTCTAACTTTGTCTCCTATCGTCATATTTCATCCTCTTTATCTTGTTTTTTATCCAAAGTATCTGCTACTTTTGTTCCAAAGACATTGCAGGATGCTCTCTCTGATTTGGGTTGGCGGCAAGCCATGGTAGATGAAATGGATGCCCTTCATCGTAATGGAACATGGGATCTTGTTCCCTTACCTTCGGGCTCCAAACCGGTTGTTTGTAAGTGGGTCTAAACAGTTAAATACCTTCAAGATGGGTCTATTGAGCGGTTGAAGGCTCTTCTAGTGGCAAAGGGGTACACTCAAACTTATGGTGTTGACTATGATGAGACTTTTTCTCCTGTTGCTAAGATTTCTTCTATTCGGATTCTTATTTCCACTGCTGCCAATTGTAACCGGCCGTTGTGCCAATTGGATGTCAAAAATGCCTTCTTACATGGTGACTTGGTTGAAGAAGTTTATATGGAGCAACCACCTGGGTTTGTTGCTTAGGGGGAGTCTCGTCACACTGTTTGTCGCCTTAAAAAGGCCCTGTATGGATTGAAACAATCTCCGCGGGCTTGGTTTGGGAAATTCTCTGAGGTGGCATTAGAATTTGGTCTTAACAGATGCCAGACCGATCATTCGGTATTTCACTTGCGCACTAAAGCTGGCTTCATCTTTCTTGTGTTGTATGTAAATGATATTGTGATCACAGGTGATGATTCTGCAGGCATTGCTAAGTTGAAGTTGTTTCTGCAAAATCGGTTCCACACTAAAGACTTGGGTAAACTTAGATACTTCGTGGGTATTGAAGTTGCTAGATCCAAGGAAGGTATAAGTTTATCTCAACGAAAATATGTGTTGGATTTGCTAGAAGAAACGGGTATGTTAGGTGGCCGTTCGGTTGATGCTCCTATGGATTCAAATACAAAACTTGTGTCTGATGAGGGTGATCTATTTAATGACCCAGGCAGATTTCGTCGCCTTGTTGGGAAATTAATTTACCTCACTATCACTCGACCTGATATTTCATATGCAGTTAGCGTTGTAAGTCAGTTTATGGGAGCTCCTAGAATGTCACATTGGATTGCTGTTCTTCGGATTATCCGATATCTCAAGCGAGCTCCAGGTTTTGGATTACTATACCATTGAAATGGTCATCTCAGGGTGGAAGGTTTTACAGTTGCTGACTGGGCTGGTTCTCCTTCAGATAGGAGATCTACTACAGGCTACTGTACGTTTGTAGGAGGAAATCTTGTTACATGGAAGAGTAAAAAGCAAACTGTGGTAGCTCGATCTAGTGCTGAAGCTGAGTACAGGGCAATGACACATACCACTAGTGAGTTGACATGGATACAAAATCTTCTAAAAGAACTTGAGTTGACAGTTGAAACTCCTACTCCATTGTTTTGTGATAACCAAGCAACAATTCACATAACATCGAATCCTGTATTTCATGAGAGAACCAAACATATTGAGGTTGATTGTCATTTTACTCGGGAAAAAATATTAAGTGGTAGCATCTCTACTCCATTTGTGAAGTCTGAAGATCAATTAGCTGATATGTTTACCAAAGCACTGGGTCATAATCGGTTAAAGACTATCTATTCCAAGCTGGGATTATTTGATATATATTCTCCAGCTTGAGGGGGAGTGTTAGAATGTATATTCTTTATAGTGTTGGGTCATTATGTAATTACCCATAGTAGTTAGGGTTATTGTGTAATTATGTAATTAGGGTCTCTAACCCTTTTCTTATATAAGCCTTATTTAGAGGGCTGAAGAGATGGAATACAGAACATACATTTTCTCTCAATCTCTCTCTCTCTCTCCCTATCTCTCATGAATCTGAACACATTTGCACTGCATCAACAATTCTCTTGGCTCCAAACAAGTGTATCGATATGGGATGTGCCCAATACATGTACTCAAATTGGACAGCTGGATCCTCTAATTGTGATGATGATAGAAAAAGAAAAAAATCTCAAATTTGATAGCAAATAAGGGTTTCCTACTTCTGAGTATATTAGTATTGAGTATATTTATGGAATAATAGCATCATCGTTACACTTTTATGTTATGTTTTTAAGTGTGCAACACACCTGTATCCAAGATTTGGATATATATCAATTTTCAAGCAAGGGGTACCATTTCCTACAATTTGCAGGTTAGGGAGGTCTACACTTGGACACATATACGTGTAGCCTCGTCAATGTAACATAGCTTGAAATCCTCCTGAGGGACATGTTAAGGCATGAGCATGAGATGGTGAATGGTTGTCAATATGGAGTCTACATGGGACCTGTACCCGCATTTATCTCTCTGCTTGACAGAAGTGTTTAAGCTGAATGCTGATATCACTATCAGTTATAAAAATTAGGTTAAGATGACAGTCATTGTCCCGTGTTGGAGCGCCTGAACTGCATTAAGCAACAAGTGTGTGCTTGTAGAGGTGCCTGTTGAATATGATTATCTCCTAGTGATGAGCACTAGATGACATAAGCTAGTTGTCATGGAATGGGAGACTCAAGTTCCTTAGGGAAGGTTGGATGAGCTAGTTGGTAAGGTAGACCATGATTCCACAGGAACTTGTGATGAGAAATTATAGAGGCTGAGGGTGAGGATACTTGGAGGCTGACGGAGATAAGTTGTGCAGGCTAATACTAATAGGCAATGAACACTAGTGGTGATAAACTACGGATGGTAATGGCAATAAGCCATGGAGGCTGATGGTGACAAGAAATAGAGACGAATGTTGAGCTACAGATGGCAGGGTGATAGAAGGAGCCTCAGGTGTATGATAGAAGCTATATTTTAGATATTAATCTTGTTTTTGGATGTCACAATGTAATATATATATTTCATTTTTGGAGGATGTTACTTGTGTCTTTTCTTGTGAAACAAGTATGAACTATAACGACCTTTTGAAAAAAAGTAAGAACTACAGTCATTATATCATTTGGGTATATTTGGGTCTCTGGGGATTTTTGGCAAGGCTGAATTGACTCACTCCTTGGGCATCTTATTTGTAGGTTCAGAGAGCCTCATAGACTATATTTACTTGCCATCAATATAATAAGAAATTCTAAATCACGTGTCTTTCAAAATGAATGGAATTCAGTCTAAGTTTGCTTTTTCATTTTTATGTAAAATTTTCCCGAAAGCAATTTTATGCTATACTCATCATTGTGCTGTTGATATTTCTATACCAAGAGAAAGAAATTCTATTGAGTTCTAAATAAACTTCCATCCCCAATCCTTACCGTCAGAAGTTCCAACTTATCTCAAATGCTTGTGTACTCGAAATATATAATGGTCCATATGGAGATTGTTTAATTGACTAAAGTTACTTATTGTTGATTCTCTATTTTGGTTGCCGTAACACAGATCATTAAGAATGAAGATCTTGAAGAGCTGAAGGAATTAGGTTCTGGAACTTTTGGGACTGTCTATCATGGAAAATGGAGGGGAACAGATGTCGCCATTAAGCGAATAAAGAAAAGCTGTTTCACAGGGCGTTCATCTGAGCAAGAGAGGCTGGTGAGCTTTCTTTATATCAAAGATATCTTGTTATTTACTTCTCTTCCTTTTTATTGATAAATTAAGCACGAATATTAACCAGTAAACTGTCAGTTCTTTATAATTAAACCTACAGTAATCATTTGAAATCACATTTCTATCATAAGATGATTGACATACAGATTATGAGGCAGGAGAGGTTTATGTTGCCGATCTCATATGGCTGGGATTGGGCCTTTTTAGTTAGGTGCTTATGAGTTCATTTCTCATTGCCTTTTTCTTCCTGAATTTCATTGCCTTTTTCTGATTAAGGAAGATTTAGACTTGCCTTTAATTATTCTAGTTTCATATTTAGATAATTAGAGATAATTTTTGCAGACGGTTGAGTTCTGGCGTGAAGCTGATATTCTCTCAAAGCTTCACCATCCCAATGTGGTGGCATTTTACGGTGTGGTACAGGATGGACCAGGAGCAACACTTGCTACCGTGACAGAATTCATGGTGAATGGTTCCCTTAGACATGTTTTGCTTTGCAAGGACAGGTAATATCTTTATTCATATATTTACTGAATATAATACACTTAACACTCGCCTTTTTTATTCTCCATCGTTTTATTTGTTATATGTCCAGATATCTTGATCGTCGAAAGCGGCTCATTATTGCAATGGATGCGGCTTTTGGAATGGAATATTTGCATTCGAAGAATATTGTGCATTTTGATTTGAAATGTGACAACTTGCTTGTGAACTTGAAAGATCCTTTACGACCAATATGCAAGGTAACAGTTGCTATGTGATGCCGTTGCTGTCTATTTATTTATTTATATAGCAAGTGATGTTTGATAATTAAATGAGCAAATTTATTTTGGTTGCAGGTGGGTGACTTTGGGTTGTCAAAAATTAAAAGAAATACATTAGTTACTGGTGGTGTTAGGGGAACCCTGCCGTGGATGGCTCCAGAGCTATTAAATGGTAGCAGCAGTAAGGTGTCTGAAAAGGTGACGTCTTTACATTTATTTCTATTTTATGCAGTTATAAAAGGAAGTATATAATCTGAGTACTTGATGTTGATCTCTCTAGCGCACTTCAGGAAATTGAATATACGACCTATGTTACTAGTCTCAAGATTTTAATCTGACCAGTTTCTCCAAAATTTATTTTATACTGAAAATTCTCTGTTTTGAACTTTGTTTTAATGAAGCTTCAATGATTACATGTCTGATTGAAGATCACATTACAGCTTCCGAGTGTTTGATTTGTTAATGACTCACGTGATATTTTGGTTATTACCACTTTGGGCAAATGGTAGTGGTTGGTCACTTTTACCACTTTGTGGAAATTGGTGGGATTTGAACAAGTGGTTAAATATTTCTAATTGCAATCGACTTGGGAACTAATTATATATATAACCATGATATGTAGAAGTACAAGACAACCACAATATCTTCAAGAAATTAATACATTCAAGAATTAAGCATGACCCATGTCAAAGACCCAATCCATCTCCTGTCATGCCGCCGCCACTTCTTCGAGACTCCGTGGATGAGAGGTGGCATAGCTGGTTCATTCCGGTGCATTAAAGTCTTTTTGGAGTCAAGCAAAATGCAGCGAAGAAAGTAAGCTCCAGAAATAGCCAAAGTGGGATGAGAGAGACTTAGGGCTTGGATTTCACCACTAAACTCATGGAATTGCATCAAATGCGCAACCGTGATCCTTATGAAAAAGGAGTTATCCAGTTTTTACTTTTCATAGTCGTTGCTTTCATTCTGTTTCTTTTATTTATTGCTAGGGGGCTAGCAATATGTAAGTCATGTCATTTGCCACATCTCATTTTCTCTCTTTCCGGCTTCTTCAACTTGTGGTAAACGTAATATATACACTTATATAAATAAAAGAAAAAAAATGATTAATTACAAATAGTGTTTTAATGAGTAAAGATTGAATATTCGAATGAAATTACCTCAATCAAGGTACCGTTTCAGTCACTAGACCGTTTTAATGTATAAAGATTGAATTAAATGGGAAGGATTGGGGCCGTTTCTTGCATCAATGGAAAGCTCTCATCCTAAGGGTTATTTTCCCCTCTAACATATACGTATATATAGGCTATAACATTGTACGTAACATCCCAATCACTACGTACATGTCGTCAATATAGGTTGTAGGAAACATCCTAAAATAATCGTATATCTAGACCTGTCAATGGATCGGATTCTAATCCGAATCCGATCCGATTAGTCGGATATGGATTGAACAAAAAATTCGATAACCCGATTACGATTTTCCTAAAAAGCCTCCAATGCTTCTTTATTTTCTTTCTCCCGAAAAGCCTCCAATTTTTTCACTTTTATTAACAAAGTAATGATTCAATTCCTAATATTTGATTTTTTTCAACCTCATACAAACTTTCAACCTTTTGGACACCAGGAGCGGACCTAGACCTAGAGGAAGAAGCATGTTGTACGGAATTTTCACTTAGGGCCTCAAACATATCCCAAGCGTCATTTGCACTCTTGTGATGAAAATAAGTGTCTGCTGAAGTAACCGATCAGATGGCAACATGCTGTCGATCAGATGGCCATAACAGCCTTAGTCTCAATAGACTCCAAACTTGGCATTTACCGGCCCCAATTCCCTGCATGAATTCTGTTGATAAATCCAACGGGATTGGCTCTATAGCCATTCTTAACTCTTTAAAGAAATACAAGTTCCAAAGGTGATGTAGCCCAATAACTTCGGTGGCTCCTATAATAGTCAATCCTCATATTTCCTGTCTACATTTCTTACATTTTGGCCCTGCAGTTTATTTTAATTAATTAATTAATTTCTGTTGATGAAGTAGATGTCATTAAAGAAGAAATAGATCGCTAATGTTATTTATCTTTTCTTTTTCTGCTTTTTTGATGTGGCAGGTTGATGTGTTTTCCTTCGGCATTGTTCTGTGGGAGATTCTTACTGGGGATGAGCCTTATGCCAATATGCATTATGGAGCGATTATAGGTGTGTACATATATCTCTATCTCTGCTTTCCCCACCCGGTCACCCCCTTTCTCTCCATGCTCAACATGTTTTGCTGGAAATTGCTTCGCTTAAGAGCATAGAGAAATTCATGGTTCAATTGATTGTATTTACTTGTTTAAACTTCTTTGTTTTTCTCTTTTAGTTACTTGTCTAAACTTCTTTATTTTTTCTCTTTTTGTTACTTGTCTAAACTTCAGTAGCGCATAACTTAGTTTTGTTTTACAGACTGAAGGCACAAATAATAACTTAGTTTTCAAGGATGAATTTGAGGGACCCTGCGTTTAAATATTTTATGATGTCTATTTTACCGAACTATCTTTGCGTAAAAGTGACCCTTCTAAAAGTTTCTAAGAAACCTAGAATCGTGACTAAATTTTGAGAGCATAACCGCTAATGGTTAACTATCTTAAGATTTTTAAAAGACGAGTTTAAAAGCATATGAACATTGAAATATTACAAAAAGATGATTTTCGGTTTTCCCCTATAGAAGTAGTGTAAGCTTGATCACGACATAACTAGTGTGTACCCATAAACCTTTGTTACATGGACTTGGGTAGGTGTGTCGGGAGCATGTATCCAAGAGTCGGTCGTGTCAAATTCTCAAACAAAAGGACACTACTAAATATTCATTCTATCTAATATTGTCATTTTCTTCCCTAGAGTAAACTAATGTCTTTATGTTGTTCAATATAGGCATTTCACTAGTTTTGAAGAAATAATATAATAAATTTAAATTAGTGGATTTGTTGTTTGGGTGCATGTCCAACCAAAAGTGTAGGACACTTATCCCATACCCTTGTAGGTTAGTATTGTGTCCGACACGGGTACTTCACCTATTTTTGAAAAGTCCATGTAACATAGCCTTAATCTACAAGTGATTATTTGAAACATACTTTTAGAAGGTCAATTACCCTCAAACCCCCTGAGGTTATTGAATACCCACAGATGAAATCTTTTGAAAAATCACTTCCACACCACCTATCAGAGTTGGGACCGTTAGGAAAATGCCCTCACTTTTATAATTATATTTGATTACCTCACTGCTGATGTAAGCAAAGAAAATTAATAAATTTAAATAATTATACATAGACTACATAATATATATAGTTATATACACACACAACAACCAACATCACAACCGCCACCTCTCAGCGCCACCTCTTTCTTTCTCTCTCTCTCTCACTCGCGTGCGTGCACAAAAAAAAAAAACACACACACACACACAGAGACTCACTCATACAAACGCATACACAATTCAAGTAAAACAGGGGAACATAAAAAATAGGTTGTAAAAGAGGACATGAACAAGCCAACTATTAGTATCATTCTTTGAGGAATTCCAACCAGCTGCTCCTTATTAGTATATATATGATCAGTTGGAAAAGAGTTGAATTTAAGAGATAAACTAGTTATGCATTATTAGTGTTATGTATGATCAATTTGCAAGGTATCCCACAGTCCTAACAGAGACCTGAACAAAATATATGTGATTCAATCCTATCCTACACCAAAAAAAATCAGTAAATGGAACAAGCAACAACCTATCTACCCACCTTATCTACCCTCATAAAAAGAATAGAGAAATTATAAAACGTGAAGCTTATTCCAGTGGTATAGTTTGAAGAACAGTATCACCGTCTTGAACAAATTATGAGAAACCCCAAACTGGAAAGTAAAAAATTTCAAGTTTTCCATAAACGCCATGATCGTTTCTCTCTCTCTCTCTCTCTCTTCCCAATCTAATCACTACAGTTCCTTCCTCTGTGCACATCCTCTCTCTTCCTCTCCATCTATATTTGAACCTATATATATGCTGGGATAAGGTTGAATGGTTGGATCGGAGTCCAATTGATGGGTTTTAGGTCTACGCGATCAATAGGAAAATGGAGTCAAGGAGGTTCACCTGCGTTCAAACCTTCCGAACAATATGGTGATGATTTTCGAGATAAATCTTCTTCCAATTTTCGCTTCAATTTATTTCTCATGAAGGTAGTGTGCTGTCCATGGCATTTTGTACTCCATGAGAGAGAGAGAGAGAGAGAGAGAGAGAGAGAGAGGCGAGGGTAGTGAGCAGTGGAGAGATATATGTCTATATAGATATATATGTGTGGTTTGGTTAAAATGGCCATTTTGTAAAGTGAATAGGGTCATTTATGTCATCTTGCTTCATATATGGGTATATTGCTTGTATGTGTGTGTTTTAGGGTTAGGTTAGAAGAAGAGAAGAGGGAGGAGAGAAATCTGAAAAAAAATAAGAGGTCTGTAGTTAGAACTCTACACCCTCACTCTTATATATTAAGACGAGCATAAGTACAACAATACCCCTATAATTTTTTATTTTTTTTTATAAGTAAAATACAATTAATACCCCTATAATAATATCTAACTCTCCCCTTAAACTGGAGCATATAGATTAAACATGCCCAGCTTGGAGCCCAACCGCTGAAATGCACCATGAGCCGGCTTCGTAAGAATATCACCTGGCTAGTCGTCAGAGCAAGTATATGGAGTAGCAATCTATTTCCGCATCAACCTGTCGCGAATAAAATGGCAATTAACTTCTATGTGCTTGGTGCGCTAGTGAAAAACGGGATTATTAGCAATAAAGCACTCGATAGTCAGAAGCTGTCTTTTTTGGAGGTTGCCTGTCTTCCTCGTCTGGATTTTAAAGGGGAGGTGGAACGGATTTCTTCTCAGAAGGATCATATGTTTAGGGTGGATAGGCCCAGCACTTCCTCTCGCGAACAGGTTCTTAGGGCTTGCCTCGTTGGGCGTTTTGACAGAGAGGTGGGATCCTTGGAGGAGATTGAAGATTGGGCCACGAAGACTTGGTTGATTTCGGGTGGGGTTAGGGTTAACTCCTTGCCGGACGGGCTTTTGTTGTTCCGGTTCCCGTCGGCGTTGGAGGCTCATAAGGTCCTTGATTGGGGCAAGAAAGTGTGGGGTGAGGCTCAGCTCTTTATTGATCTCTGGTACTACAGGGTTGGGTGCTCCGGTTTGAGGCTGAGGAATAAGTTCTGGCAAGTCGTTTTGTATGGTCTGCTGTTGCATCTTTGGTGCCAGAAGCTTTTCGTCGCCATTGGTGATGTGTGTGGAGGTTTTCGGGAAGTGGAGGCCTTCGAGATGAGCGACACGGAAAGGATTGTGATCACTGTGGCTGACGGTGGTGTGATTCCGGTGAGTATTGTGGTGGAGGATGGTCAGTGGGTGTTCAGAATCTCGTTATCTGAAGAAATTGCTCCGACCATGGTCCCGCTGACTGGGACTTATGCTGGAAATGGTGTCTTAGGATCATCGGTGGCGTCGGCTGCCTCCTGTCCGATTCGCAGATCTGGTGGTGGAGGTAGATCTAAGTCGGAGCTCCAAAAGGTGGAGGTGCAGCACAGCCGGACTCAAGGTCAGGGACGTGGGAGAAGCCACGCGCCTTAGGCGAGTGGCAGTGGGAAGGAATCTCATGTGACACGTGGTTGGAGGAGGAACGACGCCCGTTGTGAGTGGAAGACAGCTGCTCCTCCACATGCTGAGCCTCGTGATCCTCGGCGCCTTTTGAATTCTAATTCTTTTGGGCCTAATGAGGTTGGGCTTCTCCAACGTGGGGCTCATGTTAAAGGCTCGAAAAGGACTGGGAAGGAAAAGCATGAGTTTTTTTTTTAGGCTTCCTTCTGGGCCGGGGCGGCCCTCAAAGCCCGCTAAGAGGGATGGACGCCTTAAGCTTGCTGGGCCTCTTGTTGTTGCTGGACCAGCCCAGGTTAAGCCAAGATTGGCTAAGGAGAGGGTGGTTAAATGGGGCCCAAATAAAAACCTCTCAATTTCATTTCAAGGTGGGCAGCCCATTTCAGGAAGGAACCATAGCCATTATGTTCCGGTCTTGGTTGAGGAGAGAAAAGACGAACTGGGCGAAGGTGAGTTTGAGCATGACGAAGGGGGATGGGGTTTGTCCGAAGTCTTTCCGGCATGGTTCGTGTTGTCAGAACCGGCTCTCGGGTAATAGATTTAACCCTCTGCAGTCTGGGTCTTTGGGTGAAGATGATAATGGTGATTGTGAGTCCATGAAGGAGGAGGGTCTCTCTCGGAATCTTTTGAAGCAACCCAGAAAGAAATGGACTAGAAAGGACAAACAGAAGTGGGTCGCCCGTAAGGATTCTCATTCGTGCCTCGGTAAGTCTTTTTTTTCTCATGTCCGGAACGCTCCATCAGCTTCTTTCTCTTCTTCTATTCCTTCTTGTGAGTTGTTGAGAAGCAAGGGGGAGGAGGTTTTTGCTGGGAGGCAGCAGATGTTGTCGCCTGTTATAGAGGGTGACTCGGTGGATGTGAGGAGCTCTACGGTTGGCTCTGATTTTGGGGATGATGGGCCATCAGAAAGGGATGGGACGGTTTGTTTGTCTGGTGACAGGGATTTCAACCGGTTGTGTGCCGGGTTTGCTGAGACATGCTCGGAGTTTTCTTCCACGTCCCGGTATAATGATTCCTCAGGGGAGGAAATGGGCAGGTCGGCCAAGCTTCTTTTGAGTGGATCGGCTAGGCCTTATTCTCCTCTAAAAGATGGCCCAGTGACTTGTTTGAAGGGTTCTGTGCCTGATTTGGTGACTGTTTGTGTGGGCAAAGACATCCGCATTTCCCTCAGCGATGAATCAGCCTCTCTTTTGGTAAAGGAACTGCAGAAGCACATATTTTTGCCTGATGTTCAAACTGTTGATTGCAATCCGGACCCTTTCATCCGGGATGGTGTTTTGGACTATGGTGAGGATTGGTCTTCTCATGTTGAGGAGGTAGTGGTGGATAAGGGAGGTGAGGGAGATGGGAGTAGGTCTCTTGATCTGATGTTGTGGGAGGAGGAGGGTCATGCTAACTTGGGGGTGGTGGACCCCCTGGCTATTGTTCTTCTAGAGGATTTGGGCAGTGAGGTGTGTAGACAGAAAGCTGAGATACTGGAAAGGAATGGGTCAAGGCTAATATTGGGGTCACTAGTGAACTTCTGG